GTCGCGATAACCATGATATCATACAATTTTAGAACGTACCCGAGTAGTAACGGACATGGCGAGCTGTTTAGCGAAACGTGAAGTCAACTACTTGGTGTGGAAGAAATGCCGCTGTTTGTTCGTTGATGAGACGGAGCGCAGATTAAAGTGTCACGCGGCGTTAGGGAGAAACTCTCGCAGCCGGGTTTACCGATGAGATACGATGTCTGTTTGAAACTGCGTCGACGTCCCGTCACGTCATTGCGTAGCATCTGACTCGTTATCCCGGCGTGAAATCTCGCCGGGCGCTGACAAATGACGAGCTGCTTATAGAAGGTCACGGACGCAGCCGGCACAAGGGAGGTCGCGCCCACGCCTTGGCGCTTTCATTTCGGTGACTCTGTCGGCTGTGGCAAAAAATAAATGTGAACGCGTGCACGGCTTTGCGATCTGTGTGGGAAGAGGTGGAACCCCCCCCCCCGGCCAGCACCGGGTGCCTCCTTTGAGAATCAACGAAATTAACGTGAATGCGAGGAGCAATTCTTTGCAACGTAAGTTGTAAACGATGGCAGGCGTATTGCTGTCTCGTCATTGTCAAAGTTGCGCCGCTTCTCTCTCCTGTCATACGCGGTTCGACTCAATGTGGCGCCATGGTGGCGAGATGTTAGCTACCTCGCTTGGTATACAGGAGGTCGTGGCTTCGATTCTGACCCCTGTATATTAAGAGGTTGGATGTTCTTCCTGTGTTCACGTGGATTTTTGTCTGGGTCCTCCGGGTCTTCCCTCCACATTCAGAAACGTGCTTTTCGATGCATTTCCACGTGATAAGCCACCTGTTTGAGCTATAATTTGTGGCCAGGTCGTTTCTAAAAAAAGAGTTATATAGCTCAGTGGGCCTTACAAAGCTAAATAAAAATAGTCTAAATAGTTTTAAAAAAGTTTTTAATAGAATGTATTCGGTGCCTGCAGAAACTGCCCGGCATGTGGAGTAAGATTTTAAGACGCCATGGCGAAAAAAATTACACCTAGCGCACAGCCTGGACACACTGCAGAGAGAAGGGTGAAACGTATGGGATACTACATTTTATTTTGCCTCCCCCTACCCACCACCTTCCATCGAACTTTCAAACTTAGCTAGTTTATTGAATGGACAATACCACCTTGTTTGTGCGAAACAAGGCCGAGCGCAATATCGCCAGCACACCGTGCGCATCCTTGCACGTGCGTTCCCGTCGAGCTGTGGACGCGTTTGTTTTAGGGGGCCGCACGGCAACACTCGCCGACTGGTGAAACCTGCGCTGCGGGGGGCACCACGTTTTGGCTTTTTTTTTTTTATTCCACAAGCGGCAGTCTCCCTGCATAGAGTTTCGGGGTTTTGACCATTTTGTTGTGCCCCATCGCACGGCAAGTCGGGCTCGGCGAGGATTTTTTTTACTTTGCTGCGACGGGCAGCCCCGTAGCGTTGGCGGGGAGGGCGGCTGTAAAGCGACTGAGCCCCCTACCTACCCCCTGCTGATGGCTCAGGCCCCACTCTGGATTCGATCTTATCTTATATATTTAAAATATATATCATGCCTTATTCCAAGGTGCTTCACAGCAATTACGAAATTGCACGTACGATTATAGTGGTTGAGATAATAAAGAGTGTGGTTGTTATTGAAAGTGGTTGTGTAGTTATGGGGACAGCGAGGAGAACACTCGGGGAAAGGTTAAGGAGGGGTAGTTGAAAGGGCTAGTGTTGAGCGTTGGGTTAGCGGTAGGGGTTGAGGTAGCTAGAGTCGGGAGCCAGGGGAATAGCAGTGGCAGGATGGGCCAGGGCAGGGGTCGGCAAACCAAATTAACAAAAGAGCCTTTTTTTCGAATTCGGGAAAGAGCCCCCCAATATTTCAAGAGTCGCAGTGCAATGTGAACACATTCCTGCGGAGGGAGCTGGTAGGAACGTTGGGTTGCTCGGTCAATGGCCAGGGTCAACGGCGGCGTGGTGTATTCCGCAAATATGGCCCACTGTGAGGGTGGGCACAAGCCGGCGTGAGTAGGTTAAACATTGAGTTTTATAAGGGCACCACGGGGTGACCAGCTCCTCCCCACCCAGCCCCACCGTTCCCACCCCCCACCCAGCCCCACCCTCCCCACCCAGCCCCTCCCCACCCTCCCCTCCCCACCCAGCCCCTCCCTGCACGACGGAAAAGTGCAATAATCCCCTGTGGGCTGGTGTAACCAGGTGGTTCCTACCAGTAATATCTGACGGCTGTCCTTAGATAACGTCACGAAGCAGTCCTTAAAGAGCCGCGGTCGACTCCGGAGCCACAGGTTTGCCGACCCCTGGGCTAGGGAGAAGAGACATATCGATCGCCACCCTCGTATTTGGGGGTTGGTGTCCCCAGGACAGCTACGTTCCAACCTTTGTGATTTTCTCCTTCCCGAGGTAGACGGGCCGGGCCAGCCTTCGTTCGCTGCGTGCTCGTGCGGTGATGTGCATCGCGCTTGGCTTGCATTCGTTGTCTCTGCTTGATGCTCATCGATGCCACCGATTTGACACGACAACGTTTAATATTGTTGAAGCTGGGAGAGCCGGCTTAAAGAAATAAAAATGTACCAAGTGTGTCTTTTTTTTTTCTTCTGCTTCTTTTACCGCATAATGGCATCTGTTAAATAAAAAGTGTATAATGCGTCGTGTTCCAAGTGACAAACTGTATCTATCGGTACCAGTTCCTTTAATCGGTCATTACAGCTCCCTGAAGTCTGGTGTGCATCAAATGTGATGTTGTTTTATACGATAATGACACATTACAGCAGTTGACCAATTATGCCCACTCAAAATCAATTTTCAAAGCCAATTATGTATTCGCGTCTAGACAACGTGCAGCAAGTGCACACAATTTGTGTGTGTGTGCGCTTTGGAATTAGTCATTTAAATCACGCTTTATGTCACCGTAACCCCTTTGCCATCATTTAAGGGCTTGCTGGCTAACTCGGCTACTATTAGGGCACCACGGTGGCGAGATGGGGCCTACCTTGCCTGGTATACAGGCCAAGGTAGTTAACATCTCGAACCTGACGCCTGTATATTTGGAGTTTGCATGTACTCCCCGTGGTCACGTGGATTTCTCCCTGGCTTTTTCTACATATTTAGAAATGTGCTTTTAGAGTATTTGGTTGCCACACATTTGCACATAAGCCGTTTTGTTGAACTATCATTTGTGGCCATGTCGCTTCTGCAAAAGAGCTATATAGTTCCGTGGTGTTGTATATATTGTGGGCCTTTCCTGGTAAAATAAAAATAGTTTCGTTTTAGTAGTTTTAGTATCTGTATAATTTAAAAGTCTGTTGCCTCACATGGACTATACTTAAATGCATAGTGTGCAACCGTTCCTAAGAATTTAAGTTGATGTAATTGGGCCTGGGAACATTCAGATGTATGCTTTCTGTCTGCATTTGCATCCAGAAGCAAGCTGTTGATTCTTGACTTAAAGCTTTCGTGACTGCAGGAATTCATATTCTTTGAGTCTTTCGCTAAAGTCACGTAGATAGGTTCAAAGAAACAAACAAAAAACTACGACGTTTCGATCGCAACACAAGCGGTCGTCACCGCTTGTGTTGCGATCGAAACGTCGTAGTTTTTTGTTAATTTCTTTGAACCTATCTACGTGACTTTACCGAAAGACCCAAAGAATAAGCTGTTTATTTTTCATATAGATTTTATTACGACTGCGTGGCAGTCGTCCAAGCAAAAAGAATGAGTGAGGTGCCAGGCCAATTGGGGACACAAATGTGGTCTCTCCAGAAATTATGAGGAATCTCGAAACTTAAACTGCAAACAGCCAATTATGACATTTCTACCGAATAAAAATTGAGGCCTAAATTGTGAACGTTAGACTTTATTGGGGGGGGGGGGGGGGAATTCCTTCCAGGATTCAACATGCAGTGGCATGTTGCAGGGAAGCACGCTTGTGATCGCTCATGTTGAAGTGTCTGTTCTGATACTGTATTCACACGTTCAGAGGAGACTCTTGCTAGAGTGGGCACAGCTGCTTGAGATTGGGCATTGATATTTCCGTGAAGTCTCTGTCCCTTTCCTGTAGCCCTTGCCCGTCCACTTGGCACTACCGGCTGGGCAATCCCTGTTGGAATCGTAGTCGAGTTTTGTAATAAAATCGTGAGAATCGCCCAGATGTATTCCTTCAAACAGTCCATGGCTAGCGCCCCGTGCCGTTTCCAACCCCCCATCCTTGTTAATAGAAATTAACATTTATCAATCGTAAAATAAATAACTTTGCACCCATTTGAGCCACCCATCAGCTCCCTTTGCCAAGACCTTGTGTCATAAATCATTTTGATCATTGCGGAATGGTCTTTCAATTTAGCGTTTGAGATTGTGTGCGATGACGCTACGACGATGATGGCGGTGCTGCGTGCGGTGTATATATATATATAGCGTGGGACTATGCGTTGTATCACATTTCGGTCATCTCGTCTTTTTCTGGAAAGGAAAAGGAGATATAAATTCAAGAAGTCCCTCTTCGGTTTCCTATGCCATTCTTTAACAAATGAAACCGGTCGTATCAAGATCATCATCGTTTGCATGTATGTAGAACTTCTTTCGCAACGTACCTAGTTAAAGTGCGCTAATTGGAGGTGCAACTTTGATGTTTATTATACCGCGCCTCCCATGCGGTACACAAAGGGGGTGATTGAGATAATTACTCCGCGTAGGAAGTGTTTGCAGACCCAAATACTACCGTGATCATGAACAACAGCTTTGTGTGCTTACTGCGTATGTGTGTTTTTTTTCGCGGTTGTGCTGTGCAGCTCTGCGCGACGTTGCGTTTCTGGGTTAAGCCGCACATGGCCGGCACGGTGTCCGTCATGCCGAGTGACGAGCGGCACAGCCCGCACGGAATGCTCATCGCGGAGAGAGCGGCAGCAGTAGCTTGGTGTACGGCCTGATCGCAACAGTTGCCCCCCCCCCTTCCTACCGTCGCTGCCCCCCCCCCAACCCCGATGTGGTCACGACCTCGCAGTGATAATGACGGAGGAAGAGCTCCAGAGGAAAAAGGAGATGATCATGAAGAGAAAGATGGAGGACTCCTGCAAGGAGAAGTGCCGGCCACAGATGTCGGAGGAGCAGGAGCAAATGATAGCCACCCTCATTGAGGCTCACCACAAGACCTACGACTCCTCCTACTCGGACTTCGGGCAGTTCCGGGTGAGTGGCGCGAGGATAGGACGATGGCATCCGGACCGGCTGCGTGGCAAAGTGGGTTTACATTCCCCGTCTGCTCATGACAGCGGATGGTGCGCGTTTTTTTTGTTCCGGTCCCATCCCCCCAGCCCCTGTGAACCCAGGAGTACGAATGGGTTCCACCACAGTTGGTCGATCGGCAGAGGTCGCATGCGATGGGGTTAAGTTTGGGTGCTCTTACCTCCTCCAAGACGCGTGGCGGGCGTGGAAGAGTGGCATGAGCAAAGCCATTGCAGTGCTGCACCTTTGCCTTTAACTCATGGTGTCACGAAGCAATAATGTGCATCTCGGCTCTAAATGCAGGGCTGCCCTGTGTGTGGGCGCGCCTGTGTTGGTGTCCCCACGCAATGACACCGTCGGCCCAGTGTGGTCTGGATATTGGTTGTGCAAGAGGCATTTCACGTCAAGATGTATTACATTGGTTGTGTACAGGAAATATATGAAGTACAGTATATGAAATAGTGTTATAGGTCATTGTAATAAAACATTTTTTGGTAAATATTGTATTTAATAATATTGGTCATCGATCTGCCTGTGGGCTTTGCTCATTGTTACATTAATGTGACGTTTGTAGCATGTTTAAAGCTTAGAAGTTCAGCTGAACTTGAAAATGTACGCGTCTACTTTATAGCATTGGCATCTGGCTCCCTTTTAATTCATCTTGAGCTTCGATCTATCTTCTTGGTTCTTTCGGTAAAGTCACGTAGAAGGGAAGTAATAAAATAATAAAAATAAAACATAATCAAATAATTCTCACGACGTTTCGGCCACAACGCAAGCAGCCGTCTTCAGGTGGAGAACAGGTCTGTCAAGTAGACGGCTACTTGCGTTGTGGCCGAAACGTCGTGAGAATTATTTTATTATGTTTTATTTTTATTATTTTATTACTTCCCTTCTACGTGACTTTACCGAAAGAACCAAGAAGATGAATCCCTGCAGTCACGAAAGCTTTAAATCTTCGATCTATCCACTGCTGGATGAAGGCCAATCCCCATCGTAGGCAGCGCCTCTCACTCTGCCTACGATGCAGCAAACCCATTTGTTGACAATAACGATTTGATTTTGATGGAGGGCCCCTTGCACCGATGCATCTCGGAGCGCCTTGCACACGATAAGCGACGCCCCCAGCTCCTGCAGAGCGGCATTCTCATCACCTACGGTCGCTTCTCCTGTCCCGGCGCCCTTTCCGGATTCCGAATTGATTCGTTCCAATAAAATATCTATCTAGCCTTTGCTTCCATTGTTCTTGTGAGCAATTCTTCGCTAACCTGAAATTTTATTTTCAAAACTTTTGAATACGTTCACCCCCTGGCACCCTGCAAGGATGTCAGGTGGAGACTCTGGCAGGTTGGCACTGTGGCAGGACGGCACCAAGTCGAACTCACCGACTGAGTTCGATTGATGACTCCAGCGCCTCTCTGTGTGGCGTTTCTGTGCTTTCCTCCTGCTCTGCGTGAGTTTCTTCCGTGTTTCTCTGGTTTCCTCCCACAGCTAAACATAGGTGGCATGCTTGGTTTTGGCAAAAGATCCAAATGTAGCAGGACCCTCCTGAAAAAAAATTGTTTTTGAACTGAGGGTGGCTTTCCGCTGTTAAATAAACTAATTAACGTAATTTCCATGCAAGGCTTGACGATATCGTGCATGGACTGTTGTTGGAATATCGTCGACAATTTACCCGTGTGACATGTCGTTCAAACCACCCACGCTGAGCTGTGTTGTGGAAAGCAATCGCTGAAGTGTGTTCGGGGCTATGATGAGCTATTTGTAACACGGTCCCCGATGATTTGATGCGCCGGGGATAATGCGGCACGACGGAGCGATGTAATGCTAAACCAGAGAGCGTGATAGCTTTGTCGATACAAAGTGTACTTTGTCTTTTTCACGAAGGTGCTTTCATCCCATTGATCAGAACAATTTAGCCGTTCTTGTTCTGGCTTTTCTCTCTCTCATTTGCACGGCTCGGACGCAGTTCGTATTACCGCCGAGTTCTCGACTACCACGCGGTGGGAATTGCTCTTTGGGCAAACGAATAGCAAAGACGAAACACGCTACCGTGGGTAACTATGCCATGGAGAGGAAATTATATAAAACTTTACATAACCGCTGCTTCCCTCTACGGAACCGCCTCGTTTGGCAACCTTTTGGCCACCGTCCTAAATGTCACCGACACTGCATTTATTGCTATTCAAGGCAGTGTTATATATATATTATTATTTGTGGTTGTCTGGCACCACTACCATTGTAGTGTTATATAAAAAACATTTGCTTTTATTTTGTAAGCTAATTAGGTGGCTGCAGATTGCACTGGAGGTGTGGGAACAATCCTGACCTCGCCTGGCCTCCGGTGAACCCGCGGGTCAGGCCACGAAGCTGGCGCACACATCGAGTTAATTTAGTTAAAAACATTTTTTTGTAATAAACGCTGGTGTGATTTATGCAATGTACTGCGGTATTATGTGATGCTGCCACTGCGGTGTGATGATCAGCACATTGGGCTTGCAATCCGGAGCCCGATGGTTCCATACGATCTCCCGGCACAGCAGCCTGTATATTTGGAGTTTGCGTGTCTCTCTCTCGCTCTCTCCTCGTGGTCGTGTGAATATTTCTCCGGGTCCTCCGTTTTGCCCCTCCCTCCACATTTAGAATGAACATGCGTTCAAGAGTATTTGACTGCTGCTATACATTTCCACGTGATAATGCGCTTTGGTTGAGCTCTTATTTATGGTAGCAAGGTCGCTTCTGAAAAAGAGCTATATAGCTCAGTGGGCCTTACCTGGTAAAATTAAAAATAGTTTATAGTTTAGGGTTTTAATCGTTTATCGTTGAAACGATTGGGCACAAACAGAACATGCCAATTTGTCACTAGTGCAGCACACCGATGTGTTGGAGAGCCAAGCCACAACATTTACAATCTGAGTACGACGTTTCGCCAGTAATTACAACTAGCTTCATCAGGCGACAGCCAGATATGTACTAGTTGGCTGTGTCGGGTGGTGGCGGGTTTTAACGACACATTTATATATTTACGCGATCTAACCCAAAAAAAAGTCTTATGGATGATATAGGTCGCGAAAGCCGACGTGTTAAACGTATTGGGCACAATACGTGCCCAATACGTTGTCGAGCGAAACGCGACTGTCTTTGGTGACCGTTTAATGCCATTTTCGGCATTTACGAGTGATGTCCGCGGAGCCGCCGTGACAACGTGGAAGGACCACAGTGAGCCGAATAAAAATGTATCGCAGAGTTATTTCTTTTTCATCGTTTGCCACAGCGGAGAGAGCGAGCTGTGAAAGAAAGCACTGTGGTAGTTGACCACTGTTTCTCTGTGTGAGCGCGGAGAAGGTAGACGCGACCTTATCGAACGCGATACTACATTTTTAAAAATGTGTGCACCCTTTCCCACCTCCCCATCATGCGATATCGTGTGCAGCCCCCTGTGCGCAAGGATGAGTTCGACTCGAGTGACGACTGTTCCATGCCGGAGGCTCCCACGGACTGCTCCTTCGGCTCCTCCACGCCAGGTGTCCGTCCACTCCGCACATGTCCACACCTTACCTGCACTCTTGAGCAGAGGACTGTAGCCCACACTGCGACTGGCGGTCAGAGTTGGCCAAAGGTACCTGGTGGCCCGGAGTCGAAAGCCAATTGGGGTGCCCACTTATTCCTGAGTGGCAGAAACTAAAAATGGGCCCATTGTGGCGCCTTCTTTTGTGTGAGGCTCAGGGCAATTTGTCCGCTGGCCCCTCCACTGCCCGACCCTCACCACCACCCCCCCGGGCAGCCAATTGTACACCCACACGGCGCTCATCGGTCACTACATTGTATGTTCTAACAAAAATAAAGATACTCTGTATCGCCTTAAGAGGATATTGGAGCAAGTGCTGTTAGCAAGCATCTATTTAGGCTGGCACTCTATACGATGGGGTGGATGGCCTATGCCACGCCTGGCCACCTTTGTCTCCCTAGTGCTTATATTTTCACACCGCATCAGGTACTTATTTATAGCCGCGTTTGCTTCGGGGAGACCCAGCACTGGTTCAGTTATTCACCACAGTTATTGGTCGTGAGCTGGAATCGAACCCGGGTCACTAGATTCGTAGTCCAATGCGCTAACCTCTACACCACCGCTCCCCACCCCATGTTATAACTAGTGCCTCGAACTGCAAACCTTTTCACCACTCAGTCGTGCTGCCACCCCATCAAGAGGTGTTGGTTGTGTTTTTACCGACAGTGTGACCCTTGTTATTCCGAGTTTCTGCACTGCCACAACGTGTCCTTCTAAAAATGATGGATGCTACCATTAAAGTTGCTTTAATAATTCTGCTAATGATTCTGGTCAAGCTCACACAGTGATTATTGTTTTTGGCCACAAGGCACATTTGTACATACTTTTGGTCCGAATGCTTCTTATACACCCGTAGACACACACGTATACATCGCTTGTATGGAAATGAACATAACATGTGCGTGTGGTTATTTTTTTTGATGCCTGCATAATTTGAATCATACTCCTGCATGTGCCACGAGAGACTGGGAAACTCATCGCATTCAAATCTGACAATGTGCTTCCTTTGGTTGGGGCTTGGGCATTTGTTGTTCTGCTTGGGTCAGCGTGACTTGAATGCCAGGCCTCTCCAAGTTATCTGCGTTGCCTTGGTTTCTGTAAACCATTTAAAGTATAATATATCCCGACAACCGGGCAGCTATCCAACATTTTATTCCCTTATAATGCCTAATGCATTTCCTGCGCAGGTTATGTCCAGACCAGGAGTGATGTTTGCTCAAAATTGTTCACATATTCAGATGAGCCCCTGTCTGTGATTCTGCTCAAAGGGGCATTTGAATTAACCACAAACCAGCTTCTCCTCTCCAGTGGAACACTTCCCCCACCCTGGACCCATCGGTGACATTCGTTTTATTTCGATATGTCTGTCCCAGCGCGTCGTTTTTACTTTCTCGTGCAGGCTCATGCTATTCAGCTGATAGTGCGTGCTTTATTGCCCACAGCTGCATGCCAATACCTGCTTGCCTATGCTTTGTTTACATTTTTATGAACAGGTTTCTCTCAATTTATGCGAATTCGGTTTTGTACGATTGCACGCGGTATATACAGCTAACCTATTTCTACCCAGAATTCGCGATATGTGCTTTGAATTCACTCATTTGGGCGGGATATGTGGTCGGACGTGGGACAACATTGCGTGTAATGTGTGTGCTACTCTGCAGATAGCTGCCTCGTACTGAGTGAGCATTGTGGGTTGGGTGACCGTTGGGTCCATGCTACACCTACGCTTTGTGCGCCTTTTTCTTGGAACGTATCTACCACATAAAGTGAGGGAAACCTATACAGTCCTTTTGTCAATTCACTGCTGGATGAGGGCCTCCCTATTCTGTGTGGGCCATGGGAGCTCTTTGAAGTTACAGAGAGTACAGAGAAAATCTGGTTGTGCACACTGATATTATACATGCAATGGCTACGCATACTGTCCGCTTTAGCCTATACTTTATATGTGTAGTGGAGTCCAACCACGCCGAGACGAGGAATACTGTACACTCACACCAGTGTAGGTGCCCCTCTTCACTTGGACCTGGGATAACGATATACGTCGGGCCTTACTTCGGCTACCCCTAGGCTCTCTCACCCCCCGTCTGCCCGGGGCGGGGGATCAGCCAACATGGCCCTTCGACGAGGAGAGAGAGACCTCTTCCAGCCGATCCTTACCCTGGCTCCCCACGACGACCACGTGTCCGTCACGTGGCCGCCCTTAAGAACCCTCTCGGCAGCTCCTCCCCCCAGCTCGGCCCCACCCACTTTCCCGAAAGTGCTTTCCCAAAGGCCCCCCCCCCACGCTCATCCCTCATTGGCTACTCACAGTACTCCTCTACATATGTACCCGCTCAATAGCAGTAATAAACCTCTGTACATGTACACTCATGTTTGAAATCCACTGCTGGATGAGAGCCTCGCTATACCTTGTGGCTCATGCGGTTATTCAACCATACTTTACTAAGCTGGTTGGCGTGTGTTGATGAAGGCGAGGTGGCATAGACGTTGGAGCATAGGTACAGTACAAAGAGTACTGTTGTTTTTTTCCGCCACTGCTCTCTGCTGACAGTATAGCCCCACACAAGAAATACGGTGGTTGCCCATCCAAGCACTCTCCAGACGCAAACGCGCTTAGCTAGTGCAACTCCGGGTGAGTTGGTAAGGGGCATCGAGTGTTGTGCCAACGCTGGCCATTTACCCCTTGCCCGCTCGCACCCACACGCTCATTCACCTTACGCCAGCGTTTCGCACCAAGCGTGGATTCCGCGCCCGCCATCGGCGCCATCCCCCTAACCTAACCCTAACCCTTACCTAACCCTTACCTAACCCTAACCTAACCCTATCCCAACCCTAACCTAACCTAATGCTAACCTAACCCTAACCTAACCCTAACCGAACCCTGACCTAATCCTCACTTAACCCTAACCTAACGTAGCCCGAAACCTAACCCAACCCTAGCCTAAGCTTAACCTAACTCTAACCTAACTCTAACCTAACCCTAACCATTACCCTAATCCTAACCCGAACCGAACTCTTTTTAGTCGGGCACTGCGCGATATCTTCTTGCGGTGACTTGACGCCTTGTGACGTTCCTCTTGACGCGTTGTGATGCTCCACTTGACACGAAGCCGCCACTGGCTGAGAGTGCTCCGTGAAAGCGGCACGCTGTCCCAGTAAGGTGGTCGCAAGATGTGGCTTTGGAGGAAAGCAACTGGGGACTTGTGTTATTTTATATTACAATAGGCCACACTCTTACCAACACTTGCATGGAGTGCCTTATAAAATTGGCCCCTGGTGGATTTTTTTGAACAGGCACTGTGAACTTATAATGAAACCGTACAATATCTTGTGAGACAGTGGCCCCTTTCTTCCGTTCTGCATTTATCACCTTTAAAAAAAAATAAACAATGCCTTCAGCAGCATCCTGTGTTTCTGACAAAGGACACGCTGCTCTAATTGCACATTACATTGTTGCGATGTGTGTGGAGTGGCCACCAGGCCCCCCGTTTCGAGTGTTACATTGTGCCGACTTTTGATTCACCATCAGTGCACTCTCCACGAAGTGTAAAACACTTCAATTGACGCGTGAAGTTTGTACGCGAGGCAGTGTTTCCGTAGTGCCATGCGAAGGCCGTCTCAACTTAAAGATTAAGAAAGATAAAAAAGGACTGCGCTATAAATATTTATATCCCAAGCACATCACAAATGCAGTGCGTGTTTTCCCTGGTGTTTGTGTAATTGACTATTTTCATTATGTCACAGTTAAGGAGTATTGCATAGACGTCGGATATATTATTCACATACGCACATACCAATTATCTTGCCGCCCCTGCTCACCCTATATATATATTTGTAGTTGAACAAGATTAAAATGTCATCTCCTGAACGGATGAAGTGAAAATCTAAAATATTGAGCGACGGGACGGTGGTTAGCATGCTGTGCTGTGAACCCAGTGACCCAAGTTTTATTCCTGGTGACGGCTAACATCAGTGGAGAGGGACATAAGAACTGCCCCCTGCTACCCACCCCTTGGAAGCCCTATGGAACAGAGTGGTGAAGTATGGTACACACAATGCTCATGATCCACATGGCTTTGGTGGGGGGGGGGAGGGCCTTTATCTGACGGCGGATTGAGACTGGCTTTTATTTTTGTTGGTTTAATACCTGGGCATGATTACCTGCCGGACAGTTGCAGCAGTATAGACCTGGAGCGGCTCGCAAATCGGAAGGCTGCGAGTTCAAATCCTGGCCGCCACGAGGTGGCTCATCACATCATCCCTTTGGGGTGGGGGGGGGGGTCAATAAAATGAGCAGCGTTTTTGGGCGAAGTCAACAGTAGGTCGTCCTATGTATAGACCACCCCCGCCCCGCCATAGGAATGTGGAATTCACACACCACCGTGCTTAGGGCTGTAAACAGGGAGAGGGGGGGGGGGGTGCTCGTTCGCGCCAGAAATAACAGAAATAACTCTTGGACTCGCTGGCCTGGACAGCGGAGGAGGCCGCCGGGGGCGGCGAGCGCAGTAAACGGATGTTTTCCAAGAAACCGCTTTCTTGGTGAGGCACACGGCAGGTCATCGAGATGCACGGTGGCAGCGCGGCGGTCTGCGGTCTGCCGTGTCGTCGCCGCCGCGCCCGCTGCGAGGGACAGAGTCCACCCGGGCCCTGTAGGCAGGGGCAAGGTGTTGGAAGGCCAAGGTGTTTGTCAGAGGCGTTTATATTGCCAGGCCATTATTAGGACTCTGCGGGGAGTGTAAAGGGAAAGGTTGTTTGTGCGTTTTGCAGGGGGGATAGGGAGGGGGAGAGAGGGTGGCGGTTGTGTGCACTGGACAAGAGACCCGCACGCCCCTCTTGGACACGTTTACCCATAGCGAGTGGGGAAATCATTCGGGCCAAGCAGAGGGCTAAATGCGCTTGAACAATTTCCTTTGGTTGATCCGTCACTGGTGACGTATCGTCCTGTGTGATCGGCATCGTGGGAGGCATGAGGGGGTGGTGTGGCTGGTCGTTGTTCTGCATGCAGTGGGGTTGATTGAGGGTGGCTTCGGGAGAGGACAAAAAAAACAATGTTAATGATTACCTGGTAAAGAGATCATTAGGGCCTCGAATTTCCACAAGATGTCAATCATTGTCGAAGTTCGCAAACAGCAAAAAATACCAGAAATAACCAGGAACCCAGATGCCTTTCAGTATGCAAACCGACGTGAAAAAAATGCCACTTTTCCAATGCAGTGTTTTACAGATTCTAAAGAACATAGACATCCGTTTGTTGTTCTAATGATGAATTTGCTTATCTCTGCAACATTTTGTACGAAAGATTCTGTATTTTTCTATAGAGATACCTGTGGAAATAAAAAAGCAGCTTATTCCTGACGTTTCATCAGTTATTACGTCCCGCGCCATTCACTCTGTTAAGAAAATCAAGTGGGCTTGAGCAAGTGGGCTGGGGCATGACACTTCGCGAGCAGGCAAGGCGAAGCCCTGTGATTAGTACCGAAAGGGGTAGACATTCACAGTGGAGATGGAAGGAAGAAATTAGCTTCGTGTGCCGGTGGTAAATCGACTGTTGCATTGCAGGACCGTGAGAGATGGGAATGGGTTGAGGAGGTTTTCAAACTGCATTGGATTGATCATGTTTGACTATGATGACGATTCCTTCACAGTTGTGTTACTGGGAATAATATCTTTCTATCGATTTAATCGCTGCTCCTATAGTACACCTTCAACACATCGCTCATTAGCACTTAGAGAATAGTTTTTGAGTGCGTGCGATTTGGTGGCTGTGTCGTGCAGCTGTAATAGCGCGCTGCGCTATGAAGCCGGCAACCCGAGTTCGATTCCTGCTTACGGCCAACACCAGTGACAATTATCTGAACCGGTCCTGAGCCTCCCCTAGGTCAATTCCGCCTCAAATGAGTACCTGGTGCGGTGTATAAATGTCAGCGCTGAGGAGACATAGGCGGCCGGGCTTGGTGCTGGCCACACCACCCCCTCGTGTGCCGTGTTATCCTTCATTGGTGTTCCCTAATAGCACTCGCCCCAACAGTCTGTTAAAGGTTATATGGGGGGTCTTTGTGTATATTGTTGCCACAGCATCTTCAGATGTTCTTCTGTTTAAATGCTTTACAAATGCAAGTTTTTAAAATTTTTATCGTACCTATTTAAAAAATGTTTCTGCAAAAATGGAATACCTCCATTGTGAAATGATGCCTAAATATTGAAGGCCAAACAGATTTTAGGAACTAATGGCCCATGAGCCTCATTACACGTCTCACTAAAATCATGTACGTATGGTGCGTACGAAGTTAAACATACACACATACAAAACACTGAACAATGGACAATTTAGAGGCCAACCAACCTTCTCAGCTGCATTTTCCTTCCACTAACCACCTCGTAAAAGAAATGCTCGAAAAGACAGACGAATATTGAGTACCATTATGGCTGGGCTTCTATCGATGATGAAAAGGCATTTTATTCGGAGTGCTCAACCATAGAGATCGAGCAACGATATCTTATCTTACATTCGTAGATCGCCTTCACTAACGGCGCTTAATAAAGTAGAAACAACGGTGACAAAATGAAATGATTTAGATGGCAGGGGCATGCAAGGGTTTAACGAATGAGTGACCACGATAGAGGGGTACATTGGGGTCACAACAGGGTAGGGGAGGGGGGACGGGAAGTGGTAGGGGACGGTGAGGGGGGAGGGAAGGGGAATAGAATGGAGTGCTCGACCGTGGAGATCATGGGTGGAAAAAACCCGATTTTTCCAGCGGCAGGCATCGGAGTTTTTAAAAATACATTTAAACCCGATTTCGGGGAATGAAAACCTGGTTTAATGAATACAAAACTCTGATCCAAGGCTTAGGCTGCTTCCTCGTCGGTGCTGCTATCGTACTCGGGGGGGCCGTCGGTAGTCGTAGAATGCGGCGGGCAGGTTGGTCTTGATGAACACGAGGAGCTTCTTCTCCACAATCGTGGGCACTGCCAGCGAGTTCCTTCGCTTGGAATGAATGAAGCCCATCGTTGAGAAGTTGGGAAGTGCGGTTCTGCAATTAGAACCAATTAAACCGGATTTCTCCCAATCTCAGATGATCGGGTTTAATATAAAAAGACAATTAAACCTGATTGTAAAAAACCCGACTGTACCACCCTTGGTGGAGATAGAGCGATTGTGGCATCGCGAGACCGTGCGTTGCAGGATTGCAGTGACATACTACTACTATTTTACGTCTACATTATTACTTTACTAGGTAAGGCCCACGGAGCTATTTAGGGCATTTTTCAGAAGCGACCCGACCACAAATGATACCTCAACGAAGTGGCTCACTGTGTGGAAAATTATAGCAGCAAATACTGTAAACGGATGTTTCTAAATGTGGAGATAAAAACCAGAGGACTCAGAGAAAAATATGCTGTATAACTCCAAATATACAGCAGGCATCGGGGTCGGGATTGAACCCACGACCTCTAGTATACCAGGCGAGGTAGTTAACATCTTGCCACCATGGGGAGGCCTTCTTTACATCCAGCAGTGGATCTATCACCAGCATCATGGCCTGCAGTGAAAAAAATATTACTCGTGCTAAAAACGACACGTTTGTAAATTGCGTTTTGCGGAACTACACTTGAATAACGCGCACCGCGACCCCCCCCCCCCCCCCCCCCCCCGCGTGTCTGCAGTCTTTAGCGCGCCAACTTGGCCTCAGTGGCGCGATGTGCGACGTGTGTGACGTGCCCTAATGCCAACGTCCGCGAATCTCCCTTGCAGGGGAGTCGAGCATGGACTCGGGGAACCTCGGATTGCTGGCCAGCTTCGAAAACTTTGGCCAGGGTGCCAGCAACATGACGTCGCCCTTCTCCATGCTGCCCCATCTGTCCGACCTGGTCAGCTACAGCATCCAGAAGGTCATCGGCTTTGCCAAGAGCATTCCCGGATTCAGGTTAGTTCTACAAAATCACGAGCACATTTGCTATCCGCAAAGGCTATGAGGAAGGCGTTATGTCTGGGAATGGGTTTGAAAAGGTCTTCGTACGGCAGTGGCTTGATGACTTCTGACGAGGATAATGATGATGATTTTTTCACAGTTGTGTTACTGGGAATAATATTTTTCTATCAATTGAATGCTGGTCCGAGAGAAAGTCTGGTTGTCACTGTGCACGTCGACACATCATTAGTGATTATGCACTGTCTTCAGTAGTGTCACAGTAGTAGGGGGCGATGTTGCTGTGTAATCCCAATTGGGTTTTTTTTTCCATTTCGTACTGTGCTCACGCACGTTGATCTGGGCGCGTGAAGCCGACGGGCGCTATCCTAGCGGAATTAAACTTCCACCGCGGGGTATTGTTTTCATTTGGAATGTGCCAGATTAAGAAAATGCAAGTCCAATTGTGAATGTATCAGAATTTTTAGTAGGTTCGACCATTATGCTGGTGCTATCTCGTCAAAAAATGTTTCGTACGGACATCCCCAAATATATACGGAACAGATAGGCTCACGAAAAGTTTTCCCAAAAGCAAAATTCTGCATATCGAGTTGCTGTAGAATGAGGGATGACTGACTGTATGTGAATCGATATCTGTTTTTTGATTAACGATTTTTTTATGTGTTCCTCTGGAATGTGTACATTTTGTGTTTGTGCATTATATATCCATTATCAGTACGTGACTCAGGTTAAAGTAAAACTTTTGGAGGTACTGTTCCTATTTCAACAATTTATTAAGCAAGCTTAAATGCAGCGAAACGGTATGTGCGTCGCTGCCTTGGCTTCGTAACAACGTATATTCCCGTTTATGTACATATTTATTATTTTCTTTTTTGTGATAAAAGAGTTGCACAGCTTTCATACGAACAGCATTACGTAAATGATGTTATATAAATGCGAAGTGGTTTTGCAGGTGCTGCTGTGGTGTGTTATGTGGCTTATCTTTCCCAGTAACCACGAGCAGAAGACATTAACTCCTAAGATCCCTTCTCTAGCTCGCTCTCCCTCTCTCGCTCCCTTTCTCTGTCCGTCTCCCATCCATTTTAATCTTTTTAAGCGGGTGTCTCAAAAATTCGAGTTTTTTTTATCCCTAATGATTATTCAGTGAAACATTCACTTCCAGAACGCACGTGCTCTCTCGCTACCAACAATTCATTTAAATTTTGGCAAAACGGATGGTACATAATTGCAGGCTACAGCCCTTCATGCGACTACAACTTAGCATGATTTCCCCAACGACTGCCTCGTGAATCACTGCCATGCTCCTTTTTTTTCTTCAAATAAACCTCTTACACTTCTACAGTTCATATCAATATTAAGCTGCGTGTCTATCCTCCCTCCCGAGAGAGTGGGGGTCTGCCATAACGGCTGGAGTGAGTAACTTGTGAGAAACACTCTGTTTTGTACAAATGTCATAGGGCCAAAGCAGAGTTGAGCCTGTTGACAGCGCTCGGTTGAGTGACCAGCATTGCGCAAACAAACGGGCTGAGTGGGCATCGTGGGCAGAGTAGAGAGAAGTCGGTGCAGCAACACCCACTGTCGTTTTCGGCGGAGAGCCGAACCGAACTGAGAAGCGGAAACTGAAAAACCGCAAACCGATAACGGAACGCAAGTCAAAGTCGTTTATTCCTCCAGAGCGGTCCGCAACGTGCGGCCAGGAGCGTTGGCGCCACGCGCCCCACCGGTGGGGCCTTCCGCGGAGCTCCATTCACAGTGCCAGAAGGAAAGTCCCTTCATCCTCGGCGCCCGTTGTTTTTTGTTTGACACGCGGCAAGAGAGGGGCGATAGCACAAGCGGTGCCGTGCATCACGAGTCAGGTCCGCGGTGGAGGCGAAGGCTAAATCTGCACGTCCCACACACACGCAGATGTTTTTTTTCTCTCTTTCTATATATTCCACATCGTGGCCGTAGAGCTTTCCGTGGAGGCAAGATTGTCCGGATAAATAATAGCAGCTATCAGATCGCGCCAAAAACACCTTTCTTTAATTCTGGGTAGCATGAAATGAAAGAAACAGCGGGGAAGCTTGTTTGCCGAGACAGAGAGGGGCTTGCAGTTTGTGACCTTGCTGTCTGCACGACAGAGTGCAGCCTGTCTGTGCGCACAGTGCATAACATCCATGCCCTCTGTCGCTTTCTGCCCATTCAAAACACCGTTCTCGTCTGCATTAATTTGCCTTTAAAATCCCGCAAAACTCGCACGGGTCACAGACTTCTCCAAGCGAGAGCCAAAGTCAAGGTGATTTAACTGCTCGAATGAGCATGGCGATACATCTGCGCTCAATCCGTTTACGTTCATGAGCTATTTGACAGACTGAGTCGACTCCCAACCCAGATTCTAACTCTCGCAACCTTCCGATCGCGGAAGCGGTGGGGGGGGGGGGGGGGCACGGGGTCGTTTGCTCTGCTGCTGAAACCACCCGGCCGTATCGAATTGAAGAGCAAGAGCTGCTCCTCATTCAGGCGTAAGCTTGATTTAACAACAAAAAAGGAAAAAGCACCGCCTAAGCCAAGGGGACCTTATCTTGCTCTGCGTAACGTGGAGCGAGATACCCAGGGGAGAGAGGGGGAGGGAGAGAAATCCTCGTTTTGCATTCGTTCTCGGAAAACCTCGGGGATGTCTTTAAAATTTGCCGCGTGTTGGTTTCGACTGAATTGAATGTGCAGCTATGCCGGCTCCGGCATTTGTCAGAACAGTGGGATAATGGTTGCCGGGCGTGGCGTCCCGTGCCCTCCCCTGCCACAGCCTTGTCCTGGGCCGACCTCATTTGAATGCTCACTAAAAACAGAATCAGCCAAGCCATCGCCTGCAGCGGCAACAACAATAATATATAAGATATTTAAAAACTTTTTTTTACAAACCGAGCGTTACAAGCCAGACGTTATCTCGTACAGTGCACGTGGTGTATGTGTCGTGGGAAATGTAGGCGAGACAAGTGAGCTGCTGTCTCGTGCAGAGTGCACTTGAGGTTATGTTATTGCGATGCTATCGAACGTTACTGGGCATGTGGCATCATTTTTATACGTCCGAGGGAATTCACAAAACTCGAACGGGACTAAATTAGGCGGGGCTGTACAAAAAAAGCATGACTGATGATGGTGCAGTGACCACGACTTTACCTCACAGAAAAGTTAGTGCAGTGATGTATCGTATAAATACGGTATTATATATCTATTTTTAAACATAATCAATTTGCCATTAGCACCAAGAACCGAAAGTCATGTTGGAACGATTCTAGCGGCACGGTGTGAGGCGAGTGTTGTGGGCCCTTCTGGGTCACCTGCAGTGCTACTTGACTTTGGGGTCACATTGAAGCCCTCGTGGTTTAAAAGGACATTCCCCTCCCTCCCTCCCTCTACCACCACCCCTGACTGCCTCCCCACGCCATCCTCTTTGAATTGGCGCTAGCTCGCACTGTTGGAATTCCTCTGCAGCGGTGTGTAGAGTGTTCGTTTCCAACTTAATTGGCACAGATGCAGAAACTAGACAACTGCCGCCCTTTAATTGCGTGTGCGAGTGTGTGGTACGTTGTGGGGAGCGGTGGTGTAGCGGTTAGTCCGCTGCGCTACGAACCCGGCAACCCGAGTTCGATTCCCGCTCACGGCCAACACCGGAGACGATTATCTGAATCGGTCCTGGGCCTCCCCTATGTCGACTCGGCCTCAAATGAGTATCTGGTGTGGTGTGTCAACATCGCACCACTTGGCAGACAAAGGCGGTCAGACGTGGTGCTGGCCACCCACCCCCTCGTGTAATGTACCGACCTTCATAGGTTCTACTCACTAACAGCACTTGCCCCAACAGTCTGAACGCTATACAGGCAGTCTTTGTCTTATCAAGTTTACCAGGACAACGCTCAATTATCACAATGCTTGGGTCACCGCCTCTCACCGAGCATTGTGATAGCCACCTCTCTAGAGAGGGGCTCCTTGTCGATGTGGCTGTGATGCAGTGGTTGTCACCGGTGAGTTTAAAGTTCTCAGGCTGAGGTAGGGGGCGATTTATGCTGTGAGCGAGAGCCCTTGACAATGAATGTCCTTCGATTCATTGCTTTATTCATCTACCTTGACGAGGTGGAAAAACCTCTGTCGTGTAGGCTGACGACATCCGCAGGGTTCTGTTGGGAAGACGATGGGCACGTGTGGCTGTGGGTGGATGGGGGAGGCAATGCTTGTTGTAGGAATGTATTCAGTTAGGCACTAGGTTCAGTTATTTTTAAACGTTAGTCATGTTTGCCTCCACATGCGTACTCCTTGTGTTTAAATAAACAAACAAGGCGCTGTCAAAATTCTGCTCGCTTTTCAACATTCCTCCTCAGGCTTGCTGAAATTTTTAAATAAATTGGCGCATTTGTCCATCGCATGACAAACTTGATTTGATTGGGCGCTGTCGGATAAGGGTAGGTTATAGTTAAAACATTTACATGACACCTAAACGATCTAACCCTGGGGAACTTTAATTGTGAATCACAGTTACTGCAACCTCTTGTAGTGAATTCACTGGAACCGTTATTCCTTTATAAGGTGTGGCCTTGACTGCTTGCGGATGCGTGGCATACAACCTGCCAGCCAGCCAGCCAGGTTTACTCGGCTATGCCGGGACAGTCGGCCAGGCTGTTTTGGAGGATGCGAGATGCGGTGGGTCTGAGGGAGGGACAGCACTAATAGACATCGCTCGCCGTCACTTGGGAAATCACGACAGGTTACGGGAATCCAGGTTGGTGTTGTCGTGTAGAAACGGTCCGTCGCTTTATCCAGTCGTCGGAAATGGTGGATGTAGGCGGGGTGGGCGAATATCCACAGCCAAACGTTTTAGAAGCAAGAAAACCCGCTGTGCAGTTTGAATTCACTTTTTAAAAAAGGCAGGTTCCGGAGCACCGCAGGAAACGCGAGGTAAAACTTGTGGTTTAATTCCTGGCGGTCACAAATAAGAGAGTAATGTTTTAATAGATGAATGCAGTGCGACTGATCCACGTGTCAGAGCAGGCAATATACATGTAAAAAACGTGGATATGCAAGGATATAATTAATAATAATTTTAGTTGTATAGAGCGTATTATATATGCTAATTGCTTCTGCCAACACTGTCCGATAATTATATACATAATCACGTGCACGGTTAAAACGTTTATAGCAATTATTGAGTGTGAAACCCTCGGAAAAAAAATGAATTAAACAAATCACAAACTCAGGCACTGAAAAGTACGCAAAGAAGTATGGTGCAGTGCACCTTTGGCAATACTTTGAGAGATTAAAAGTGGAATACGCGGATTCCAGAAGAGGCTAGAAACATTTTGGTCACTATAAAAAAAACGTAAGCTTTTTTGGCCAAGACACGTCTCGAGCCAGGCTGATGGCTGGCGGTTGAGAATAACGCCGGAGTGGCTGCCAAAGGAGGAGGGCTTCGTCCACCAATAGAGATGGAGCGATGACAGTGGCGCAGGTGCTCGGTGTATGTCACTTTGTGATAATGGCCGTCACCGCCCGCTGGACGCTCACGGTTTTACCAACCCGAGAAATATCCCCGTCAGGCCGGATGGGAAGTGGAGACTGTTTTTTTGGGGGGGTTAGGGGTAGGTGGGGGGCGGAGGGGGCACTACGCACCACCCACAACTTCCCCTCCCGGTCGACGTGACATCGCAGGACAGTGAGGGACGGTGATTGCATGGGGTGGGCGAGGGCGGCCTTCGTCCAGGAGTGGATAGATCACCGCTGATGACGGTGACTCGCAACAGCTCGCACGCTTTCAGTTCCAAGCGTACGTAAAAAAAAAGTGGAAATTAATGAAAACAACACCATTTCCCCTGCTGACCAACCGACCAACTCGACGCTGTTTACCAGTGTTTATGAAATCCATTTAAAACCCCGTCGCCATCTTACGAGTCGGAGGCTGCCAGAGGCTGTGCGCGGAGCAAACTCAAGAATGCTGCATGTCATCTTCACATCGTAGCATGCTCTGACATATTTGGCACGCAACGAAGCTAACGCTTCCTGTTGTGTATATCCTTGATGTCAAAATATTACCATCGTTTTGTGTCTCCAGCCAGCATGTTTCTGGCGAATTGGTTTTCTCATTAGCTACAGAGGACGCTTTGATTTTTCTCATTAGAATGCTGATGCCATATTTCACCATCTCTGAAAAAGGACGGACGCTCCATTTCATCCTGGAAAATATTTGCCCGAGCTGTGCAACGCGTTTCTTTGGAGAGACGGCTAAAAGAAATAAAACAGATTAATTTTCGAACAAACACAAAAAACAGTGAAAAAACGGCCAGTCTCTGCATACCTCTTGAACCAAATCTCAAGCTAGTGATTTTGGGGAAAAAACATGGCCTTGTGTTCCTGCAGCTTAAGGCAAGCATAAACATGTGGTGTAGCATGCAGTCATTGCCCAAGCACCAGTCCGAATAGCAGCAGCAGCAAGCTCTGATGAGAGTGTCCATGGGGTTTGGCTTTCAGTGGAGGAGGGCATGTTTTGATAGTGGTGCTGCGTTTTAAAAAAAATCTATCCTGGGTACACCACTGGGTTTGCTTGAATGGCGATGAAACGAAGCGAGAGCGTGGCGCTACGGTGGCGAATTAATGTTGTTAATAAAGTTCGCAAAGACGCTTCGGTGCGGTCATATAAATATAAATGCGCTCTAAAGGACACGGACGGGGGCGGTGAAAGGGAGTAGCGTTATGTAACGTTAGACACACACAACTCTAAATTGAGAAATATAAATTCTGCGCGCGTGTCTGCACGCGCTTGATGTATCTTCTGGCGCAGCAATGCTCGCGCGCGTACAAGAGTTTCCTCATTTTCAGTTATTTCCCCGCGTATATCAATGGCCGGGCGGGCCAACTGTCAAACAATGCATTTTTTTGCATTGCGGCCTCGTGCAAAGCGTTGCAGTGATTTTCAAAAGAATATGCAAGGGGGTTGCAGATTATACCAGAGAGAAAAAAATATTGAGGAGTGGGGAGAGATTTGCGGCCGCCTTGGGTAAAGCAAATGGGGGGGGGGTGGGTATTTTGGGAGGGGGGGGGTTGTTGGGGGGGGGGTATTTTGGGGGGGGGCGGGTGGGGTGGTGGGGGGGGGGTGAACCACGACGTTGACTGAGACGTCTTGTTACGAGTGATTTCGGAACACGAAGCTTGCATTGACAGAATTATTACAGTACCGTGTATTTGGATCTGGTTGTTGGCTTTGGGATGGGTGCCTCGAGTCTCTGTATGTCGTGACTGCCACCTGCTGGTGCCTGGTCGAATGGCAGCGTCAACCCAATGGCAGCATCGGTGAGGTTGAAATGCACCTGTGTACGTGCGAGGTGAGCGGCGTGCAACGGTGGTGACGCAAGCCCCGTGTGAAGTCGACAAAACGGGGGTGGGGGGGGGGTTGCTCTGTCAGTAAATTAAATTAACGATTCGCACGATAACTGTGAAGGTTTCGTTAATTGCTCGCAATGTGTTAATTACATATTTTGATGCTGCGTTGGTATTGTTGCACGAGCACAGTAAACAAAACACGGGTCTCCCACTAGAGGATATTTTGGCCTACTCTTCCAGGGTGGCCGGACATCTCGGATGAGATGGGTGTAGCCACGTGTTACCCCGCCGCACGCGGCCTGCCGATCGGCTGACCTTGGCGAGCCCGTTGATACCGCTGGGCGTGCACAGGGGCGCTGGGGTTCCATTGCCGAAAGCTGCCCTCGTGTTCCAACTCGGCGCGCGAAGGCGGCCGAACCGAACGTGCGACCCGTGGGTCCCCGACCGTGGTTACCGTGCCATCTTTCCCGAAGCACGCCTTCTTTGCCGTCGCCATCGTCGTCGTACGGCCGATGTTGATTGAGAGCATCGGCGATAATTTTACGCCCGAGTCGGTTGAGTTGCGTAATTGCGTCAGGAGTAGCGGGAAGTGGTGAATTGTCCCTGCCGCGACGATGCCTCCTCCTTTGTAATTTGTGAATCGGGCTCCGGGTCGTTCTGGTGGGGACCGACGGTCGCACACCCGGCACGTCGCCACCAGCCAGGTTCACGTGATACGAGAGGTCCTCGTTTTCCTTTGTCTGGTCACTGTTGCGGCCAATAATGGGGTGGTGTCAATGTGCAGAGAACTGAACACGGAGGACCAGATCGTGTTGCTCAAGTCCAGCGTCATCGAGATCGTCATGCTGCGGTCCAACGAGTCCTTCTCCTCGGAGGACAACTCCTGGGTGTGCGGCAGCGAAGAGTTCAAGTACAGCATCAACGACGTCACCCAGGGTTCGTCCGCTTACCCCCGACCCCCACCCTCACCCCCCACCAGCTGTGATGGTGGACTCCCGTTCTCTTTATTCCGTCCCTAGCTTAATCGGATCGATAAAACCGTGTGGCGACGTCAACCCCCTACCTTCTCAATACCAGAACTATATTAGCTCCTCTATTAAACCTTCAATCGCGCTCGTTGTTGTTGTTGTGGGCTTTGCATTGTGGCCTTTGGCCCCGTGTGCTTTGCAACTGGGATCAACGAGACGCAAGATGTCTGGCGGTGTTTAGAGTGACACGAGCGTAGGCCAAACGCAGTGGGCGTGATCCTGTGCAGGAACCGTTTCGAATTGAGGCTTGTTTAACGGGCATTTTGTCAAAATTGTAGAAAGACGGAATGTGTGTAGTGCATTGAGACGGCAGGGACAACACCCTTCCATTAAACACAGCACGATTGTCTGCTCGAGAGTCTGAAATTCTTGTTTTTACGCTGCGGCGTTTTCGCAATGAGCAGCAAGCGGCTCACCCGGTGCGCGCGGCGACGTAAAACGTCGCGTAGAGTTTTCAAAAGCAAAATTTGTTCGGACAGCCACATGAAAACCGATGCTTTCGGGGGGGCAGGGGGGGGGGTGGAGGGTGGTCACGAGAGGCAAATGGGAGCCCTCGCCTGGCCAAGCCCTGGCAGGCAAAGTGACAGCCAGAAAGAGAATTATTGGTATCGGAGAAAGTGGGTGGTGCGATCTTGTCCGAGGTAGGACACGCAGATTTTTTTTTGCTGCAGTAAACTTCCACTTGATAAGCCACTTCGTCAAGCTGTGATCTGTGGCTAGGTCGCCTCTGAAAGGGGGCTAATAGCTCAGTCGGCTTTACCTGCTCAAATAAGAAATAGTTTAAATGCTTTATTCGTTTCAGACACACACACATACTCTGGGTCCTGTGTCTGTTCCTGGTGCTGTGAACCCAATTCTGAAAAGAACCTCTTACATTCACCTCGTACGAGCTGGTAGGTGAAGTGTAAATCTGTAATTTAACAACACGCGCAAAGGTATGCTGCTGCTCACAGACAGCAGGAAGTTATGACTCCCATCGTGCCTTTCGTGCACGGTCATGCAACCACCACATGGCATGTACAGTGGTCTCAGGCTTGTTCAGAGCATCAGCTCAAAAGAGCTAAACTTTTGGTCGTATTATTGTTGAGACAACCAACTGAAAGTGGAGAGTTGAAAATGTCCCCATCAAGCAGCGGTGTTGCGTGGTGATGGGTTTTCTCACTGCACAGAAGGGCCTGGGATCGACTTGTGGTATGAATATTGAGGCTTTGTTCCTCCCCAGCATCTGAATTAATACTCATGATTTAGTGTTTTTGCTAATGTCTTGTTGTATGTATGTTGAACTTCTTTCAGACCGTGCGTAGCCAACCATGCTAATCGAAGGTGCGAGGTAATGTTCATCAGCTTAAAATGTAACAATTACCTACAATACGCATGCATTGTAAACAATCAATTCTTTACGCACATTCACGCCGACGATACACGATGCGCGTAATCGTTGGCGTGAGAATCAATTTCTAATCGGCGAATCGATGGATGTTACATGTGTCGTAAACATTCAGTCCACTTGGCAGAACTTCAATAGCGATGGCTCGGGGCCTGCAGCTACGGAGAATTACAAGGTCAGCTTTGGGATTTCTAGGATTTGCTGATGGCGGTTTAATTGATAACTGGATTGCGCATGCTCGGGCATCGCTTAATAATTCACTCGTGCTTGCCCCGTAGCCAGAGAAGCTCTCCTGGGAAGTGGTGTTCTTTCCAGTGTAGCTGCGTCGAGTGGGGGAGAGGAATCCTGTACGAAGCAGCCAATGCCCTCTGCAGTCTAGCTGCATCACATTGGTCCACTTTCAGGCAAACAGCGGTGAACCATACAGCCTTGGGTGCAGTTTGGTGTCACTTGCAGTTTGTGGAGTACTTTTGGGGGGAACGCGATGTATGTCTGTCTTTATGTTTGTTGAACTTCTTTCGTACCGTACGTAGCCAACCCTGCTCATCGGAGGGTACAGGGGAAGGACTACAAACTAAACACAAAGAGCAGTTCCAAAGAAATTAGTTTTGATAATGAAAAGTAACAACAGTTTTATTAAAGAGGACTTGTTTTTAATCGGTGCATCGGTCAAACTTAAATCTAACTTTATTCCTTTTAAGGCACCTCTCTTTAAAAAAACTCGGCCCCCTGTACATAAATGATTATCCTCCATGAAATCCTTCCAACTTTGCACTTAAAACAGTAATTAGGTTAATCTACAGCCATACTTTTTTTACACATTTTTTGTAAATGCCAAGCTTGAACAGTTAAGTAAGTTATTTACATGTTGGACGGTCAGGCAGGCCCTTATCTGATGAGGTAGAGAATGTTGCATGGTGGGGGCCGTGTAAGCAGAATGGAACGAGTCCCCAGATGTTTATTCGTAGTCGCGTATCGCCTGCGCCATGAGCATTGACCTTCCTGGAAAAATATTGAGCAAAAACCGATAAGCGTAGAAGTAAGCTTGGAGAGTTGCACGCTTGGCTGTTACATTTTACAGATAAAAGAGAGGCACACATGGATATAAGAGCATACAAAGGTTATTGACATGTCATAGAATGGTTCAGAAAAGTAAGTGGGTGTGGGCAGGTTCCATGTGGCTGGATGGGATGATGTCCGCTGGGTCAAAAATATCTCTGGACTGACATCCAGACGGGAGGGTACGCACCCTTGAAGAATTTTGCTCGTGCCGATCGAACGATGAATTCGGCTTGCGTGGACGTGGTGCTGGTGGCTCGTTACATTGCTGGACCATGAGATTATGGTGACGGCTTGGGGGAGGGGGGGGGGAATCCTTCGTGCAGCAGCAGACAGATCAAGGCTTTCGAAACGGGGAGCTGCCGACGGGTATAAAGTAGTTCCTTGAGAGAATTTGCAATGGCTTTGAGAGGCTGATTGATCCGGCAGTGGATTCATTGTGGCTTCAGCACGAGGTGGCAGCGCCAGAGGATGGTGGCGGGAGGAGTAGGGGGGCAACACAGTGGCAGTTTCAGAAAAATAGAGCAAACGCAAAAAGACCCCTCGGTGGTGGCGGCTTCGTCCTGCGACCCGTTGCCCACAACCCTTCCAGTGCACGTCGGCGCGTTTGAGGACACGCACGTGTTCGTAATAGACTTGGAAGCACTCTACTTGCAACAGGGGTGATGGATGAGTACTGTATTTTGTATGTTGAAAAACCTGCCCATCTGTCTACTGGGAGGGGGAGGTTTTCCATTGGCGAGGATGGATCGGCGGCATCTGGTGTTTTTAAAACACAACAGTGGCTTTTGTTCATGATTTGGATAGCGCAATATATGTTTATATATTTTTTTACGGCATGAATTTGATTTTCTGTTCAGTTCAACGAGAATATACGCGTAAACCATTGTACAGTGATATACGTACAAAAGGTGAAGAGATGCACACGTTGTATTCGTGCGATACTGAGAATGGCAACGCCCAAGGACACGTCACTGGGAGGGACAATGCCCACTGGTCGAGACGAACAGCGGAGTGGCACACACCCCCAAGAGGGAGGGCCCACCACAGAATTTTATCACGATTTTTTAGCACGGTTAGCTACGCACGGTGCGAAAGAAGTTCAACATACACACATACTTGGCTTACGATGACGACGATAATGAAGAAGAGCGATGGCGCAATGCTAAGCGCACTGCACGGTGAACCAAGCAAATTCCTATCCGTGGCCGACATAGGTACCATGTGGTACCTGAACCGGGTACCCCAAGCAACACTCCCTCTTCACCAAGCCGTACTGGCCGGCGTGTGACTGTATAGTCTAACGACCTCCATGACTGAAATGCCTTCATCCAGCTGTGGATATAAAAGGCCTTGTAAACGATGTTAATATTATAATTGGTTATTTACCCTTCTATCTGGCAACAAAAAAAAGGTGTCAGTTTTGTTGCCAGATAGAAGGGTAAAAAACCAATTATCATATTTTTTACTGGCAAATGAGGTTCCAATGATGTTAATATTATCCATAATACAGGTTTTTTGGGTTAGATCGTGGAAATATATAAATGTGTCGTTCAACCCGCTACCACCCGACACAGCCAACTAGTAAGGGTTGTCACGTAAACAGAACGTGCCAATTCGTTCCTAGTACAGCACACCGGTGTGTTGGAGAGCAAAGCCACAAGAATTACAATCCGAGGACAACGTTTCACCAGTAATTACAACTAGCTACATCAAACAGGAGGATTTCTCCACAAATCTGGCTGTCGCCTGATGAAGCTAGTTGTAATTACTGGCGAAACGTCGTACTCAGAATGTAATTCTTGTGGCTTTGCTCTCCAACACACCGGTGTGCTGTACTAGTCACGAATTGGCACGTTCTGTTTACGTGACAACCCTTACTAGTTGGCTGTGCCGGGTGGTGGCGGGTTTAACGACACATTTATATATTTACGCGATCTAACCCAAAAAAACCTGTATTTTGGATGATATTGGTCGCGAAAGCTTACGTGTTAAACTGATGTTAACCTCGTAGGTTAACATTCTTGTCTTCAAATTAAATAATTTTTTTAAGGCCTGTTATTTTCAGAGGCAAGCAATGTTTTCAACGCAACATTTGTGTTGCTTATCCGCCCCCCTCCACCCGCATCAACATCATACATTTTTTACAGGCGTGGCAATTGTTTACAAGACAATTTTAGCCTGAGCCGCCGCCTTGCGCACACCTTTATGTAATTTTTAAGCTTTGCGAATTAAATAATTTGCCAGATAAATAGAACCACGAGCGCATTGTTGCATCATTAAGCCGGCAGCGTCGTCGTCGCGTGGCGGCGCGGGGTTGCGCCCGGCCACGGCTCCCAGCCACGAAGCGGCGGTTTCCTCGGGCAACTTCCCCGCTCGATGGCCGCTTTGATTGTGGGGGGGGGGAACTGTGGGTGGGGGGGGGGAGCTGTGGGGGGTGGGGAGCTGTGTGTGAGATGCGCTGCTGTCCCACACCGACCGCGGGACCTAGCTGCATAGCGTGGCTGCGTTGAGCCCTGGTACGGGAAATTAAATGCAGGTGGGCCCACTCTGTCTGCCCCCACTCTCCCCCTGCCCCTGCACCCACCCCCTCCCGCTGCCCGCTACCCCCTACTCTTTTCTGTGGCCCAGTACCTGGGCCGGAAGATGGACGAGTCGGCGACGTCTGGTGGCTTTATTGACAACGTTTGTCGCGTCGATGAGCGGCGCGAAAGTGCGACGCGAGCGACGCGTTGACACGGTTGCCGGTTCTCGACTCAGCCCACGGCTGCTGTTTGGTATTAACACCCACCCCCTCCACCCCCTCCACCATGCGTTGTCTTCTCCGCAGCTGGACACAACATGGAGCTGCTGGAGCCTCTCGTCAAGTTCCAGATTGGACTCAAGAAGCTGAATCTGCACGAGGCAGAACACGTGCTGCTCATGGCCATCTGCATCTTCTCTCCTGGTGGGTGTGCTCGCTTGCTTGCTCGCTCACTCACTCACTAGCTCACTCACTTGCTAACTAGCCAGTGCATTCACTTGCTCACTAGCTTATTCAGTAGCTCACTCACGAGCTCGCTTGCTCACCATCTCACTCACTAGCTCATTCGTTCACTCACTAGCTCATTCACTCACTCGCTCACTCACTAGCTCACTGGTTTCACTCCACGTGCTGCAACCTACTTGAGCAGATGAATTTTATTTAGGGGATACGTCGGATGTCATGCCGATCGGCACTGCGCTGCAACCAGAACACATAGGAGACTTTCTTTGTTGTTCATAAACAGGTTGGCAGGATCTCAGCAGGCAGTGCAATTGTAGGTGTGTGGTAATTAAACGAAGATAAAGATCCCCCGTGTAGCCTTTAACAGACTTGTGGGACAAGCGTTGTTAGGGAGCACCTATCAAGGCCGGCACGGCACACGAGAGGAGTGGGTGGCCAACACCATGCCCGGCCTCCAGGTACTCATTTAAGGCTGAATCGACCGAGGAGAGGGCCTAGTAACAGTTAAAATATTCGCCACTTATTGGTCATGAGCGGTGAACGAACTCGGGTCACCGTGTGCTAATCACTGCGCCACTGCTCCCCATTCTCCAGCAGCCCCTCATTTTGGTTGTCTCGTTGGTATCGCTGCTTGGTTTTTTTCTTCCTCGCGTGCGCAGTTTTGTTCACCCGCGAAACTAATTGTAACTTTGGCGTGCCATTTGCATGAATAATTAACTCTCGCACGCACAATTGAATTATATCGGAACAACTTGTACCTGGGTAAAACAAAATGTTAAAAGTCGCTGTTTTTCCGCTTCAGTGAGCATTGCTTGGCACTTACTTCCCCGAGCCAGAAAGGTACAGGCGCAGCCCTCCAATTGCTCGCTCACACCACTGCTGGCAGAATGACCATCAATAGAGGGCGCTCACAAGACCTTCTGTGCCAGTGTTCTTCAGAGGGGGGGCGGGGGGGCACTTTTGCCGATAAGACATCAGCAGGCTGAGGACCGCCACACATTTGAAACCATTTGGGTTTGACAGCAGCACGATGATGGGGGGGGGGGGGGGGGGTTACATTTGTGTGTTGTCGGGGGTCACATGTCAGGGGGCGCACTAAAGGCCACCCGAGTGCCTTGCAATGAATACGACTGCTCTAGAGGGTTTTTGGTTTACTCTTCCACTCTGGCCAAATGGCCTGGAAGAGGTTGGAGAGGTGGAAGTACCCACGTTTTACCCCACCAGATGAGAGCTGCTGATCGACTGTGGTGCTGTGGACAAAATTCTAAACTCTCATGATAGGGGAGGCCCAGTCTCTGCATACCCACAGCCAAGTGGCAGCTTACGTTTCACGAAAGTGATTTTATGAACCGCGCTACAGATGATGATGATGACAATTCTGGGTAAAAAAATCGCGTCTTCTTCTTCTGTCTCTTCTTCCTCCACCTCCTCCGCCTCCCCTGCCACGATCGACAAATCGGCGGCCGCAGACCGGCCAAGCCTGCTGGAGCGCGAGCGCGTGGAGGCGATCCAGGAGCGGCTGTCTGAGACGCTGCGGGCGTACATCGTGTGCAATCACCCCCCGCCCAGCAGCCACCTGCTCTACCCCAAGATGGTGCAGAAGCTGGCCGACCTGCGCAGCCTCAACGAGGAGCACTCGAAGCAGTACTTGGAGATCTCGCGCGAGGCCGGCGACGCGAACGACCTCACGCCGCTGCTCCTCGAGGTGTTCGGCTCTCCGCTCTCCTAACGGCGGCCCTGCCGCACGAGCCTCGGTCGTTTCTGTTTGCATCTGGAATTTTTTTTTTTAATCCTCTATTTCACGGAACTTTTGTTGTGGTTGTTTTTGTTGTTGTTTTTTGTTATTGAGTCGACGTTGAGATGCAACCGGCGTGTGCTGGTGCATTGCAGATCCTTGATTTACCTGTGTTTTATCAAGGTCGCCAACTTAACGAGTTTTTGTCCCATCCTGGTGCTGGTTAGAAGTTTTGCATCGTTGGTCTTTGTTTGTCGTTGGGTCTGGTCGCCGACGTTGGGACATCTGGGACGCGCGGAAAGAGGATGTCCTTTTGTTGAGGTCTTCGGCCAGGGCGATTCCTCCCTTTGGGGAGATGACCCCGGCGAAAAGGGTTCGGGCATGAGGTCTCACCCGGTTTGGTTTCAAGGTCACGCTGACGTGGCTTCTTCTCCGTCTGGCCCCCTGAACTTCGCGTAAGCGATCAGGTGCTGGTTCCAGCTGACACGCGTTCTCATGGTTGTCTCTGTCTTCATGTCATTTATTTTTTTCCCTTCCTCTCCACATTTTACACATTACCTCAAATACGTACGTATCTCTCCACAGTGGCTGCTCAAAAAACCGTCCCGCTTTTACGCAAAACCAGTGCCATATCAATCCTCAACGACGTGCCGTTTTTGGTTGAAATGTTCACTCTTGTCGAGTTTTTGGATCGTTAAATATTGTAATTATGATGATGACGACGACGATGATGATGATGATTGTAAGAATGATAGCGATGGTAAACTGTTGGGTGTGGACTGTGCATTGTGAGTGATATTCTAAGCAGATTGCATGACTTGTTAAGTCAGTAGGGTTTTTTATCGACGCTGCAACAGAAAAATGCGTCTTAACAAAAATATAATTTATTTTTACAGATATTCTTAGAGCTGCTATGTCTGTAAAAAAAATAACATTGCGATCCGTTTCACACGCATACTTGTGCTGTTTACGATTTGCATTGTTAACTTTTACAAATATATCTCGAAACAAAACTAGATGGACCGGAATTCGGATCGACAGCGCAACGGGACCGCCGGAATGCGACGAAAGTCGGAGGGAGAGAGAGACACCGCTCGCTGTCGACCGTCTGCAAGAGAGGACGGCTCTAGACAAGACGAGATCTCTCTCAAAAAAAAATCCTAGGAAATATGCAAACATTACCGTAGCGAGTATGGACGATGTTCGCACCTCCATGGATGTGGCACTACCAACTTGAGTGTAGTGGACTCGGGTGCAACTGGTTCTCGTGACCCCAGGCCTGTGCTTGGTTGTCGGTGCGGTTTGGTGCGTGGCAAATATACGTTGTGAGCTTGCATGGCACCTTGGTGTCTCTCTCTCTCTCAATAGAGAGACACGACCTCTTGATTAAATAATTCACAAAATGATTGTTTAAACTACCTCTGTGTGAGGTTTCTTTTTTTGTTTTTACTAGAGCACATTCAGGAGATGATAGGAAAAATGCTTATTTTCCACACCAGCAGGCATAGCAGCTGCAACTCTATCGCTTGTTTCATGAATGAGAAAATTTTAGTGAATAATGTTGTGGCTGTCAAAAACACACACACGAATAAAGTGTCATTATTGCATGTTAACTTTACCAATTTTTTTAACCGTTTTTTTTTCCACATTCCAAATTAATCTGTGACAACCAACAACAAGTTTTGGTGAAACAATGTTGGTGTTTTTTGACATTTACGTGTCATGTATCCACGCTTATGACAATTAAGTTTCCCAGGCATTGCGTGTCTTTGGAAGAATGTGTAAATCAAGTAACCCACGTGTTAGCGTGCAAGTTCATTCCTGACAATCAAGCTACATGTGCGTGTGTCACTGTTTTACTTTCTTGCAATGTGGAAATTGATCAGGCAGTTTGTAGCGGCAAGGCATTAGCTGCACTCGAGTTGGCTATTTATGTCTTAACCTTTTTGACATCGGAAACATTGCAAAAGACCAGGGCTGTCCAGAGTAGGGGAGAGGGGGCTTCAACAAGGGGGGACATTGCCCCTTGGTCTCCCACAAAAGAGACCCCCCTCAGGTAAGCAAAGAGCGCCTGGGTATTTTTTTGTCGCGAATGAATTAACGGCGCACCCCCCCCCCCTCCCACATGGACATTCTACTCTGCGGCTCTCCAGCCATCGGGGGCCTCCATGAACTTCTCTGCACACAACACAGCCAGCCCTGGGTGGCGGGGAGAGCGGGGAAAGCGCCCCTCCTTGTTTCCAATAAGCCTCATTAAATTGGCCTTGTTTTCTTTTAATTTACGTTGTGTTTTCAAACTTATAACCCGATGCCTGCTTTAAAACGTTTACCCACGTCGTTTATATACCCCCAAACAACCTTATCATGTTCTTGGTTCTTTCGGTAAAGTCACGTAGAAGGTGAAGACGGCTGCTTGCGTTGTAGCCGAAACGTCGTGAGAATTATTTTATTTTATTATGTTTTATTTTTATTATTTTATTACTTCCCTTCTACGTGACTTTACCGAAAGAACCAAGAAGATGAATCCCTGCAGTCACGAAAGCTTTAAATCGAAACCTTATCATGACCACGTTTTATTTGTCCCTTACCCGCTGCAACGACGGACGACAGCTGTGGTTAAAGAAACACTACTTGGGCAGTCGCATGAGCATTGAAATACACGTTGTCTATATTGTAAATTATTAATGTGATTAAAAAAAAGTGTACATTATTTTTTGCAAGTTTTAAAGGCTCTGGGTTCTGAATTATCGGTGGTTAACGTTGATGGGCATTTAGATTTTTCTTGTGTTTTCCTTTGAATAGTTTTCTGAACTGTAGTGTACTTGCCTTTTTCCAACGGACCCGTTACTCTTGTTAGTGCTTTAGTGGAGTGAACTATGACATTGAGCTTGCTGGATTGCTGCGTGCTGTATTTGATTAAGCAAACTTCTACCTGGAACTCTGTCAAGGGTGTGTTGTCGCTCTCTGTGTACTCGGTGTTTCTGGATGTTGTGACAGGGTTGACAAAACTGAAGGATGTGGTGTCATCGTCACTTTGAGATATGCGCTGCTTTTATTGAGGGTTAAAACCGCCCTGTTTTAGAGCGACCTAGTTTTTGGACGGTAAAACGATCCTGTGTGTTTCTAGGTTGACGAAACGTTGCTGGCGCTAATAAGAAATCGCTCGTTTTTCTCGTATCATGAGCTCCCGACGAAAGCACTTATTTTTCACGACGATATATAAACGACAGAATGTGTCACTAAAAGTGGAATGTTGTTTATGATAGAGAAATTATTTTAGGATTAAAGAGATATATATATATGCGTGTGACGTGGATGCGTATTAACACAATACAAATTGTCATACATTTTATATTTGTACAACGGATGTCCCCTATGCACATACTTTATTATTTTTCTGCTGTACCGTATACTTTACGGCATTTTAAGAGTTCAACTTTACAGAGATGGGAGAGAAAACATATTTTATGATATGCTGGTGGGAATCTATGTCAGAGATGTTGTGTTTGTTACATTGTTTTTAAGATAAATTGGTTTTACGCAAACAACGGTGAAAAAAAGATGTTCAGCAGAAGCTGATGACGTGCTCTTTAAACTAACAACCTGATACGTATCAATTTTGCACTACATTATTTCTGACATAACTTTCAAAGTTAATTACCATGGTAACAACTAAATATGCATTATAGGATGTCTCAGTGGAAAGATATATATATATATAAACCTCTTGGTTGAAAAACAATGAATGTCGCAACAGCCATATAAATAATATGATTTGTTTATTCGGTAATTTTAATCGGTCATTTGCTCTTGAACGCGGTCCACCCATCGAGTGCGCATGCACTGAGCACGAGAGGCACAGAAAGCGAGCAGGATTTGTTTTTACTCGTCACGCATTGCGACTGATGATGACGACGGTGATGGCTTTTTGCCGATGGGTATATTTCTTAGGAGATTTGACATTTCTCTCCTTGAATTGGGGTGCTTGCTTTCGTACAGCAACAACACAAATATGAACAGGATCTTGCGTTCCAGAAATGAGTAGAATAGAAACAAAAATGATTTGCTCATCTTGGCCTTGTTGCCTCTCTCCTCCTCCTCCTCCTTGTCCCCCCGACCTCTGCCCTTTCTGCAAGCATCACCTCGCCACGCATGGCACAGTCCTCCTCCTGCTGCTCCTCCTCATCCCAGCTTGATCTCTCTGTCGGGCTGCCAAGTTCTCAACAAACCACTCGGCGTGTTAAATGGGCATTTCGCACAAATACACACAACGGGAAAACAGGTCGGGGCGATTCGGAGAAAGGACCCCCCGGGGTAGGAGGAGCGTGTAGATGCCTCCGTCGGGGCGGAACCGACGGAGACTCTAAGGGTCCCGTCGTCGAATTGGGGTGAGAGGGGGGGGGGTAGAGAGTGTCGTTTTTTTCTCCGCGTCGTTTTGTGTCGCTTTTTGTTGTTGTTGCAAAACCTCGCTAGCTACGGCGGCGGCGTTACGTGCAAAGTAGCATTCGTGCACGAGATCGCACGCATCGTTCATCCTGCTGTAATGTTAGAAGAAGAAGAAACCTAAGCCATTTTAACAAAGAATGTTTGTAAGCGTGTCCTTGCTTGTATATATCACGCCGTTTATATTGCGATGTCGTTCCGACGTAGAATTTGTCTCTGGAGACGCAATCTCATGATGGTTTTGACGAGGCACCAACACTTTGTCTGCGCACGTGGTCATGCGTTGCACTTGAGAATAAACAAACAGCTCTTATAGAGAGGTGGGTTTGTTGCCGTTGTCTTGGTGCAAGGAGTGGTTGTTGGCGTTACCCGCACGCTGCAACAAGTGTGCTGTTGAAAACAGGGCGATCCGTTTTTTGGGGAACCCCGCTGATTTATAATGGCCCGATTTCTTCTCAAGCGGTTCTTGATTTGTGTGAAAACGCTGGCCTCTGTATCTTACACAGGAGCGTATTTCGTCCATGGGCCGGAGCAGAAATCGGTACCGCCTAATTGGAGCAAAACGTCAGTCGTATCCATCTATATGGCCACCGCGGGTGTATTATTTGATAACCTCATGCATTTCAAGTGGTTATCACGTAATTCACTGTTATTGGCCACGCAAAGAAATGTGGCCCATGAAAGGTATGCCACCTCAGGTGGTACAAACCAGTTCAATATCTGGGCTGGGTTCTCATGGACTGGTTAAAACGATTTAATACGTGCCGAGCTATCTGTGAGATACATGCAAAGGTTTGTATATTATTAAATGTTATTTTCCCGCACAGTAAAATGCGTTCTCCCTATTATTTTGTGACGGGGGCAGGGGGTAATCCATAAATTGATCACCCCGTCGAATAAATAAAAAATCATGATCATGCCCGGAAATTCACCTTTGCAAAAACGGTACAAGCAACAAAAACATTCGGTTCGTGATTGGACGGAGTCAGAGGGCGGGAGACGTGAAACGGAGCGGACGAAGCCGCCAATAATCCTCATCTGCGGTCATCGTGTGCGCCGATGCCTTCCGCATTTGGCTACCGCGGTGTGGGGACGTCGTCTCGCCTTTTGAGAAGCAGCAATTGTGGGCGTGGGGGGGGGGGAGATAAAGGAGGCTCCGTATGTAGGGAGCAATGCAACCACTCAAGTCCGTGCGAATCACGAGACACGCGTTCCCACAGGAACCATGAATTTTGTGAAATCGGGTTACGGGACGGCGGGGACACAAAAAACAATCGGGTTTTGTGCGTCGCAGTTTGTGTTCTGGATTTCAACAAAACGCGTGATCGCTCTGGCACAAACCTCTGCAACTGGGCGCTCGTGTTGTGCATTCTCAAGCTGCGCCCGTAGCGTTGCGCGCGTCGACTGTGCTCTCGGTAACGGTGTATTATGAATGTATACGGTATTACCAAATGACTAGAGTGACTTCTGACCTGTACCGGAGGTGCAACCAGCATTAATACAGCAAACTTGTACCCTATGTAAAAACAACCAAGAAAAATCCATATATATTTCATGACTAAAAGCTGTATATTTTATGTGCCAACGTTATGAATTTATACATAGGATGCTTGAATGTTTCATTGGCTCCTGTCGTATTTATACTGCTGTTAAAATATGACCCCCTTCCCCGCAACGACTCACAAAAACACATCCTAGTGTCGTTCTCGACTGCAGGTCTTCGGAGAAATGCCTTCGTTTTCTGTCGCGCGATTAGCAACCAACACAGGCATTGTTCACAATTGTACTCTTATGCATTATCACTCCGCGTGGTGGTGGGTCAACAGTGCCGCACAAGGCCGGCCCTCAGGCTTTTGACGTTAGGGTCAGGTACAAAAAAAATGCCACGTCCCGTTTAGCACTGCGTAAACACTGCACTGGGCGCGTTCGTTAAATGTTTTTGTTGGTTAAAAATGTGAATGTGTCTCCTCGCCGCGCCTCGACTGACAGGGTAACCAACAAGTGATGGCTGATGTCCAGTGATATGTGTACACGTGTGTGTGCGTGTGCCATCGAATTATGTTGCTGCTGCTGCTGCTTTTGTAGCTACCGTCCACTGACTGATCGGTGGACTCTTTTTCGAGGGTCATTAAAGGCCCCTTTAAGGGTTGTGGGATTGCGGTAACAGATGTTGTTGCGCCGTGTCGTCGTGCTATTGCCGGGGCTTGCTTAGAGCCTAGAGGAGCTGCTGCCAGTGCCGAGTTGGCTGGGTGCAATGCGGGTGTCGTGGGTGTCAGTCTGGATAAATCGCCGAGCGAGAGAGCAGTGCTTTATCACGTATGCATGTACCTATGTTGAACTTCTTTCGCACCGTACGTAGCCAACCGTGATACTCGGGATGTTGTGGGGGAAGTACAAGAAACTCAACACACAAAGCAGTTTTAAAGAAATGACACCTGCAACAGATGCTGCTCTCCTCCTGCCCCCCCCCCCCCCCCATGATTGCACATTGACTCTCAAGCGTGATGGACATTGAGAGGCATGCACAACGTATTTATCTCGTGACGTCGCTGCATTCGAGCCGTTCCACAAATCCGTCGGCACTTAAAACAAAAACAGCATTGCGATTTCGTCGATCCAAACAGATTCCCTCTCCTGTGACCCCTCGCGTTTAGGTGTTGTCACTTTATTTGTTTTTTAAAGAGCTGTGCGCCCGTTTGTGTTGAACACCTTGAATTAAAGAGAGCAAACACAATTTCATAGTTTAACGATGTGCACGAAATACATGTGCAAAATAGAGAATGGTCTTCAGGTGTTCTACACAATCAGCCCCGCTGTTTTTTTGTATCGTACGATTGTTAATGTATGCAGCAACATTGCTTCGTGAGCTTTACCCCCATCAGCGTTTTGCCATCACCTTGTATCCTCGTAAAAAAGAAACTTGCTGTCGCTTTTTATTTAAAAACAAATATATATGTGTCCATCTCGCAGCCCTTTTGCAAATACTGTATATACACAGACGCACAGCACAAGCTGTGCATATGCGTGCACACCACACACCTGTAATCTTTACAATAAAAAAAAGAATTAATCTTCTGAACGTTAAAACGGTATATTTGTTTAGCTGAGTGTGCATACGATTGTAAAATGAATGTGTCGTGAAATACAGAGAACATAAAAACGAAAACTGAAGTCTGTTTCATCTCAAATAATGGCGCGTACATGCATATATATGCTGACCTACCACACAAGGCGTTGTGTCCTGTACATATGGGTGTAAAATAAAGGCTAATTTAGGCATTTAAAGTATTTTTTGTAATTTTTTAAATTGTACATGACTTTGTTTTTACAGTTATCATCATCATCATCATCATTTGGGGTGGCAGCGAAGTGGTAACACACATGCCTCGCTAGCGAGAAGATGAAGAGTTCGATTCCAGTCTCGGGCGCCTCTTTCTGTGAGCTGTTGATTCTCCCACCGAGGATTATTCCGCGTTTCCGGTTTCCTCCCAGAGCTAAAAAAAAAACCACGATTCCCTGTATTTGGTGTTGGTCAGACATTTCAATGTGGACAGGATCCTCCTAACAAAGAGTGTTTGGGCTTCGTGTGGTGGCTTTCCCGTGCCAATACGTTTAATTACAATCACCCACGATCTGTCCGCTGCTAGATGAAGGCCTACCTATGTCGTCACCGTGTCTCATGGCCTTTGCATCCCTGCATCAATTTGCACATTCATAGTCGAGGACAGCAGGAATCATGGAGATTGATATTCATGTCTTCGAGAATATCAATCAAACTTTATTTCTTTAGAGGCACCTTTATTGAAACCAAGGCATGTATGTTGAACTTCTTTCGCACCGTACATAGCCAACCGTACTAAACACGACATAAAGGATCCGCCATTAAAAATGTAAAACCAGAGTAATTATGTTACTCTACAGCCATACCTTTTGTATGCCATGATAATCGGGGTTAGGGGCCGTCCATAAATGACGTCACGCATCTAGGGCGGGGTCAGACATTTGTGACGATGTGTGACAAGGGGGGGGGGTTGAGAATTGTGACATCACATCAAAATGCGCAACTTTAAATAAATATAGACAATATTTTCTAATTAATTAAATATATTTTTAAATAAACGTTTTCTCCTACAACATCAGAGTGCAGCCACACATTAAATACGCACTACAATGACAATAGTTTAAAGCGATTTGAAGTATGTTTTTTTTTTTGGGGGGGGGGGGGGGGGCAGAGCTTTGTGACGTCATATTTGAGGGGCGTCTGACTTTGTAACGCCGTGTGACGAAGGGGGGTGGGTCAAAAATAGCGTGATGTCATTTATGGACGGCTCCTTACGTATTACGTTTTTTTTCTGTGTGTGTTTACTTTGGAGGGTCAGGCAGTCAGCTCCCTTATCCGACGAGGTATAGGGAATTGCACAGAGTGGTTGGGGAGGCGGCGGGGGGGTTGGGCATGGAAGCAAATGGAACGGGCCCCAGAAGTTTGTAGTCGCACCCTGGGGAGACATGTAGCGAGCGATCACTTCACCGGTGGATGATTGAAGCGGTGTGTCGGCCCAGTGGCTAAAAATCTTCGCTCTCAGGTAGCAGCATCCCAGGTCGTCGCCAGGGATTTACCTGTCAGGAGGCCGCCATCGCACCGGCAGCTAGTCCAGTCCACGGAGTCACCGACTTCATATGACCGACCCTAACCCAGTGCCCTTCATTGCAAGGCCCGCGGCCCCCCTGGCCGCGCCTGGTGGACTTTAGTGCGGCCCCTGACGGGCAGACCCCGACAATACAGAAATGGTGAAAACACCATCCCCCCCCTCTCCACCATCATCACCATCATCGTGCTGCCGTCCAACCACAAAATGTTTCAAATGTGTGGCGGCCCTCACACTGACGATGTCTTATCGGCGATGGTGCCCCCCCCCACCGCCCCCTCTGAAAATTTATGAAGAACACTGCCCTAGACGAGCCAACCAAGCGACTATGTTCGACACTCTGTCAATGCTTCTCAAACTCCAGTCCTCGCGACCTGCCACGCGACGCGTTTCCGCGACGACCAATTTGCTCCCCATTCAAATACAAAGGAAGTCGTCCCACGTGGCACGCTGGGCAATTGACGCCGTCTGTCACGTGGGACGCGTTCACGCGGACACCGAGGTCACAATCTTATTTCGAAGCGGCTTCATTAACGCAATAGCCGTACTGATTTGTATCTTCCTTTTTCTCTCTCCAATGGCAAGTTTATCAATGGTCCTCTCGTCTCTTACGTTAAATCTGCCTCCGCGTTCCAAGTCTCCTCTGATGATGCACGTGGCCTGTCATGCCGGCACTGCGGGTGCGAGGGTTGACGGTTCGCGCGCACGATGTCACACGACTCTGTTCCCTTTTGGGCGTCGAGGTGCCGTTCTCTGGCTTGCCAGGAGAATGCGGTGCAGTGAAGTGTGGACTAAATATTCTTAGATTTTTTTCGGTAAAGTCACGTAGGTAAAAATTAAAATTAATAAAAGTAAAATAAATAAAATAAAAATCACGACGTTTCGGAGGCAACACAAGCTTCCGTCTTCAGGTGGAACCGTCACAGCACGATAGCTGTATCGGTTGCACCTGAAGACGGAAGCTTGTGTTGCCTCCGAAACGTCGTGATTTTTCTTGTATTTATTTTACTTTTATTAATTTAATTTTTTACCTACGTGACTTTACCGAAAAAACCTAAGAATATGAATCCTTGCAGTCACGAAAGCTTCAAATGTGGACTAATTCTCCACGTGTACCATCTGTAAGGGGATAGAGTGTGTCCCCCCCCCTCGCACGCGTTTTCTCCGGTTTTCTCCCACACGTGAATAATAAACACTCATCACTGATTGGCCCCAAACCCCTAAACATGCACGCACCTCCATGTGTCGAGGCTTTGTGAGTATTGCGAGATGCAGTTCGCGTGAAATGCACTGCTGTATAATAAACGCAATCTCCATATGTATAAAAGGCAAAGTTGTGAATATGTGTCTGTTCAAAATGTTTAGCGTACTTCCCGACATGCAACAAACTTGAAATTTGCCATGTGGGTACTTTCCAGACGGTACACCATGCAAGAATCATTAAAATATATTTTTGGGGGGGGGGGGAGCTCAATAATGCAGATATTTTTTGCACAAGTGAGCTGTGACGTCACATCTGTCACGTGACCCGCGCACGTGGAAGCGTAACGCATTGTAGTGTAGTGGTTAGCGCGCCGCGCTACGAACCCGACGACCAGAGTTCGATTCCCGCTCACGGCCAACACCAGCGACGATTATTTGAACCGTCCTGGGCCTCCCCGAGGTCGACTCAGCCTCAAACGAGTAACTGCTGTGGTGTGTCAACATCGCCACTGGGGAGACAAAAGCGGCCGGACGTGGTGAATCTAAGTCCTGGGCGAAGCCGGGTAGTAAAGCTAGTTATTACAGTATTATTGTTTTGCCATCAAAGCAGTTAAAGATAACACTGCTTTGTTCCACTAGGTGGCGTTGGAGGCTACGGAATGTAATTGTCCTCTCCGTGCTTTTGCCATCGACGGCTGAGTGAATGTTTGGACGTTGGATTTATTTCGTACCGTACGTAGCCAACCGTGCTAATCGGTGGTGCGGGAAAAGGACAACACACTAAACACAAAAAGGAGCTCTAAAGAATTGAGTTTTCGCTGTGTCCGGCATTAAAATAATCACAGATTTCTCTGTTTAATTCACAAAGCCGTCATTGTTTTTTTGGCAACGTTTCCTTTTATTTTCAGTTGATCGTCATCATAAATCAGTCTCGAATGTATCCACTGCTGGATGAAGGAGGCCTACCCACGCCGTTGCCTTCGATGTCACGATGCATCTTCTTGCACTGCTGCTACGATAGCTGATCTCATCACGGTGGCCAACCTGCATTTAAACATCAGCAAGACATAGGCGCTAACTGTAGGCGATACGTGTGGCGCATCATTGATGGGTCCGTTAATATATCTCTCTCCTTGAAAGCTAATTTTATATTGAACTAGTGTGTCTCTCTGACGCCCGACCACTGAGTCGTGACATCGACTGAAAGTTTCGCTGTATGCATTTGGTCAGTAAATGTGCAGTGTATCAAAAAATAAAAAAATCATCCATGCCTCGAGTTTCAAGGCTGGCTGCTAGCTGGGCTCCTCTCCACCCCAGCAGTAACTCTGGCTGCGGGCCGTTGCCACCTAAACTCGCTGGGTAACTGGCTACACGGGATTTTTTGTGTGCAACAAAAAAGCATTGAGTTGAAACGGCAGAATAAGAAGTTCGGAAGACATCTACTACTACTACTAATAATTGTAGAAAGTGACACCGAAGCAGTGGGAGTAACGAATACAGAATAAGACTGACCAAGGATCATTTAAAATTACTCTACCTTTTCAATCTGTGCTCATTTTCATGTAATTATTTCACCAGAATATATAATTTCCACAGAATAGAAACCCACCTCACAATACACATTAGCTTGGCATTTTATTAAATGAAAGCGGATTACTTTTAGTGCTCCCAGTATGGGAGGAAAGTGAAGATGAAAATGACAGAAGCTGTCTCTCTTTTTTTATCCCGTTGCAGAGCCAAAATTCCAGATGCGAGCCGCTCGTTCTGCCACCGAGCCAGCCGGCAGGTTATAATGTCCTGCTAGCAACAATGAAAGGAAACAAATACTAATGCAGGAATTAGCAATGCAACCAATCAATGTATGTATGTATCAATCTTGATTTGAAGCTTTCGTGACTGCAGGAATCCATACTCGTTGGTTCTTTTGGTAAAGTCACGTAGGTAGACAAATAATAGATCACGATGTTTCGATGGCAACACAAGCAATCGTCATCAGGTGGGACAATGACAGAAAAAAAACTGCTGAAATAGGCTTACTTCAGCAGATTTTTTATTGCTGTGGTTGTCCCACCTGATGACGATTGCTTGTGTTGCCATCGAAACGTCGTGATCTATATTATTTGTCTACCTACGTGATTTTACCCAATGTATGTATGTTGAGCCTCTTTGGCGCCGTACTTCGTAAACCGTACTAATCGGAGGTGCGGCGGAAGGACAACAAACTATAGACAAAAATCTATTCTGAAGAAATTATTTTTTCAATCTCGATTTAAAAGTGCATAGCTCCCGTGTCCCAATGCCAATGGGTGAATGCCTCCCTACGTTGTGTAGGTCATGGCAGGTGTTTGACCATACTTCAGCACGCTGGTCAGTGCGGCTTGGTGAAGGTGGGAGAGCATAGACGTTGGCGCAATGTACAGTACAACAATGGGAAGAGGGTAGCGTAGGGAGGGGAAAGGAGGAGCACACGACCGGTACTGATACCCACTTGCCAAAAATGAATAATCGTTGCCGGATTCGTAGCGACACAAAACGTGGTCCCATGACATTTCCTTACCAGAAGGTGCCGTGACACTGTTATCCATCATCATCATCCCAGGCCTTCTACAATCGGGCTCATCCTGGGACAGAGTGCTACACGGGATTGACAGCGGGGGGGGGGGGGGGGTGTGGGGGGGGGCACTCGTCAGCATCAGCCAGCACGAGGAGAGGTTAGGCCACCGATGTAACTCAACGTCGCAGTCTCTCTCCCTGGCGGTGCGTGGCGCTATCCCCAGCGCCGTCAGCAGGGGGCAGAGGCGACACGCAGTTGGTGGGCGCCTAGCGGCACGCGGCAGCCACGGGCGTCACGAGACCACTCCGCCGGCCTCACGGCGACAGCGAAGTTCGCTGCGAGAACTCGCAAACACAACGCCGTGCTGCTGGGAGAGGCCCCAACGCAGGAGATCCCCGGGAATTTGATCTTCCAGCGAAGCTCACGGCTCGCCCTGAAACCGCATCAGCACAAACCATGGCCAAGATGCGGATGCCAGATGTGCAAAGGGACAGAACAAAAAAAACCCCCACCATCTCTCAAGTCTGCGGTCATCCAGAATAGACGATCAGACGTATAACGACGCAACGCCCGGTCCACAAAGAGGAAGGAGACGTCGCAGCGACGATCCACTCCGCTGCTCGTGACACCGTTGCCTGCCGTGACTCACCTGGGCGTCAAGTTGACGTTGTTGCGCTGCATCTACATCAGGCGGACGAAGATAGGGAAAGTTGAGCGCGTGAATCGATCACCCCCCGTGATTTGATTTGCCTCGCGGTTCTATTAAATTACCGGATTCATTCATTGATTCACTGAAATTACGCGTGCGCCAACTCGCACTGTTGACCAGAGCGGTGAAGTATGGTCAAACACCCCCCTCCTCCTCGCCCAACGTGACATGACCACCACGGCGTGCGGTGGTGGACTTCTGTCCAGCACTGGATTGGTAAACGGGTGAAACACGTTGATTGTATCGTTTCGTGATGTCTGCACGGGCAATGCTTGTTTGCGTATGCGAATGCGCGGGGTTTCCTTTCGGCGAATTTAAGTCCAAACAGGCGGCAGATATGTAGAGATACACGCCTGTCTTTAATAACCCACGCGACATCTCAGAGGTCGCGGTGATCACTCCGTGCGTTCACCCGCACGTGGCTACGTGGATGTGCGCACGTGCGCATGTTCATCGACATGTATGTTGCGTACACACGCGTACAGTGTGGAGGACTCTCACCGGAGACTGGCATGTTCGATCAACTGCTGGATGAATGCCTCCTCCCCCAAAGCCGCCGACCGCCGCCGCCTTTCGCGGTTCTGCGATGTAACCATAATAATCATATTAATCTATCATCCTTGCGAGCCTGTTGCGTGATGTATTTATTTTAACCAAGACCCTTCCTTGAACCCTGTGTTCGAGAACGGCCTAGATTGTTCTCAACGGACTCATCGCTGACTTTGAGTGAAGGCAGTCATCGACCTAACAGTGCCATCGATCATAAATACCGCCGTGTATTTTTAAACACCGCTTGTGTATGGCCATTTATGGGCTTTTTAATTATTTATTTCAGAAACTGGGTTAAGTCATAGGCCAATGATGAAATCACCTGGAATGCGCCCAGTGTTTTGCCAAACCTCGGAAGCTAAGCAAGGGTTCGAGCCTACATAGAGCCGTGAGTCTGCATAGGGTCATGAGGCTGCTGTTTGTGCGGAGCGACCGTGTCAGTAGCGGGGGGTTGTGCGGTAAAATCCACTGTTGTACTCCACTCCAGTGCTCCAACGTCTATGCCCCACGCATTCACTCACTCGCCCGCACTGGCGACAAACGTGGTGAAGTATGGTCATAACATCTCCCCCCCCCACGCGCCCTCCCCACACACCTCGCCCCCCGCACGACGTAGCGAAGACCTCATCCAGCTGTGGATCGATAACATGTCTGCACAGCACGTAGTATTGTTGTTACTGTTGTTATTAACGACGGGGTAGATTTATGAATGTTGAATCTGTACATTAGTTGGCAACAGCAGGACAGCACGCGTGTGTGTCCAACGCCTTTTTGTGACATCAGCCGGACGCAACAAGATTTCTCTGTGAACTCCCTCCCCGTGTTAGAATCTTTTTCTCGACCCTATTTTAAACAAGAACTCGCCACACATCCCAGGCTGACATTCGTGACGATCACGGGATTCTGCTGGATAATTACAATTTGAACAATTATAATTATCATTCATTATCACGACATATATCACCTTGTTTTCTATAGTTCACTTAAACTGTGACTTGACAATCAAGATATGTGTTTCTAACTGGGAAAATCGTTTTTTTTTATCCCAGGTTATTTCGCCGAGGCTCTTGTGTGCAACAAAAAAACCGGTTTACATATTCGGTTTTAATGAAATGCAAGCGTACGATTTTACGTTGCATAGAACGAATTCTATACCTACGTGTCATTGCAGAAAGTGGGCCCATTGAGGTACAACTTGCGCGGTCAGCCTTGGGAGTCGTCTGATCACACCTGGCCACTGCGGGTCGGTGGAGAAGGACTTTCATGAAACCCGCTCAGATGTCAACCGCCACTGTTGCTCCAACGGAGGTGGCCTGGTTTCATAGGCCTAGGTCGTGCCACTGCTTCTAATATAAATCCCATACATCGGGGCATTATCTGCGAATGGGGACCATTTGAACACCGCTCGCTTTGTATAGCGACACTTGTGGGAAATATACCCGTGTTATTTTGAACCTGAGTAATTGTTAATTTGAGCATCTTTCTATCGATAGCGCCTGCGTCTGAATCTGTATCCTAGAACTTGCTGTGCCTAATGTGTGTTTTCGTACAAGATATAAAACATATATTTTTGCCAGTCTTATACAACCATAGGAGGAGGCGTCAGTGTGCATTTGGACAACATATTCCAGCGCGTACAGTTGGAACGTGCATACATCTCAGATGATTGTTGTTGTTATGGTTGTATCTGTTGTTGTTGTTATGGTTGCAGCTGGTGTTGTTATCGTGGGTCCGAGTTTGTGAGTGGGCCAACGTGCAGAGTTGTGAGGGTGATGAGGTTACGGGGTGAGGTGATCGTGTGAGTGATGGAGGGAGTGGTGACGAAGACATCAGAGAGTTGGAAAGGGAGGGTTTGGTGAGTGGCGAGTGAGGTGGTTGTGAACGGTGGCTGTGAGTGGTGGTGTGTGGTGAGGGATAACTGAGAGATGAGGTAGTCTTTGGTCACGGGCGCGGGGGTGAGCGAGGTGGTTGTGAGGTGATCGTGAGTGGTGGTGAGAGCTGAGTGAGGCCAGGGTTTGTGTGCGGGGGTGAGGTGCTGCGGCCGGTTGTGGATGATGATGATGGTGACGGGGAGTGGTGAGGGAGGGGATGAGGGGAGGAGGTTCGAGGGGGAGAGGGAGGGAGGGGATGGCGCAGAGGGCGAGGGGACGGGGCTGCAGGGAGGGGGGGGGGGGGTACAGCATCGTGCACCTTGGGGCCGGCTTATCCAATGGGGCTCCGGCCCGACCCCCGCGCGGAGTCTCCACGCATAAAAGGCGCGCGCCCGCGGGACCCAGCACGCGCGCGCCACAGAGAGCGAGAGAGATATTTATAGAGAGAGAGATACAGAGAGACATAGGGGGGGGGAGAAAAAAACAGGTTTGTGCTCTCCGGCTCTCTCCGCTCGCTCACCTGAGCGCGCGGGGCCAGGCCGGCGCACCTGTTGTACCTGCAGACACACTTACCTATCAGCGGGAGGGCAGGCGACAGGTACAAAAGAGGCACTTTTACCTGGGCAAGGGACACCTTCGGCACACCTGGAGAGAAGACGCGTCGACAGAGAGAATATCGCGCTGCGAAGAGAGCAAGCCTCGAGCGAGGAGGAGGTGGAACACCTGAACGCGACTACACCTGGAGAAGATATCCGCCCAGCTGAAGATCCGTCCGCCAGGAAGGAGTCTGCGTAGACACCTCCGGATCTTCGGACGACAACAGCAACAGCAGCAAGCAGGCACGGCAGCTCTACCTAGGAGACGGCACACCTGTAAACGCAGCACCCCTGTCTACGGCAACAACAACAACAACACACCCGCCAGGCCGTTCGCCTTAGTCCGCGGTCTAACATGACGGATGTGTTCGACTGCGGCTCGGCTGACCTGCGGCCGGACTTCATGAAGAGAGAGGCCGACTTCTACGGGCTTCACCAGGCGCACTCATCCCCGACTCTCCCCGAGTCCACGTCGACGGACTCCAGCATGAGCTATTACCCCTCTCCTCCGAGCGCCTACGCTGGCTACGGATCCTACTGCGCGCCGGCCTACGGGCAGCAGCAGCAGCAGCAGCAGCCTCTCAACCACTACCCCTACCAGCTGCCGCTGCAGGGAGCCGACAAGTCGTACCACCAGGGCTACCACCAGTACGGGGTTTTTGGTAGCGCCTACGAGGCGTACGGGCAGAGTGCGCCACCCAAGGCTACGGAGGATGGTGAGTTACCGATCTTTCAGACTGAACCCCGTTCACGATGGTGATCGTAATCACCCGTGTGGTCACCGTCATCATCGCCTTCATCGTGATAATCATTGCTATCATCGTCGTCATCAACATAATCATCATCATCAGCAGCAGCAACAGCGGCACCATCATCATCGCTGTCGACATGAACCAGTGGCATCCACGAACGCTTTGGCGCAGCGAGATGAGATCGTGTTTAAAGGTTTATTTTTTTGCTTGATCGATTTGTGAATTTACCAGAGGTCTGTACCCTTCTGCATCAAGGGTTACCTTGCTCGACGTATGTATACTGTGTGTACGCCTAGACTGTAGGTTTGTACGTATGTGGAAACCACGTTATGGCGCGTGTTATTAAAGCGCTCGCGCGCGCTATCGTCGTCGTGATGGAGCAGATGTGCGGCGTGGACGCGTGGTGACAGTTGGATTGATCGGCGGCGGACACGTACTCGACGTGCGAGCACCGCTCTAGTCAAGGACTGTTGCGCAGTTGTGGCGCACCAAGCGATGACCACACGTATGTCGCTGCTGTGTTACAGTGTTCAAAGGGGGCCCCACATTTATCGGCAGCCCTTGAGCGAATATCAAAACATCACAGCGTACTGTGTAATACGTTGCTTTTCCTCCACGGAACAGCATCGATGTTTGATACGGATGAGATATATTTCCGCTCTTGAGCCGTCTTCATGATCGTTATCATCTTCGGGACATGATCAATCCACTGCTGGATGAATGCCTCCCCTAAGCCGCCGTCAGAGACTCTTAGTCGATATCAAGACGAAATGACACAATCCCTCGCTCGTGTCATTCCATCTCTCGATCAAGCCGCTCAAACGATGACTGAGCGCGCACGACTGTTCGCAACTGATGACCGCGTTTGTGTGTGTGTGTGCGCGTCTCTTTCTTTTCTCTCTCTACCCCTCTTGCTCGCCCTCCCTCCGTGCGCAGTGGACGAGAAGGAAGAGGCGTCGCGAGAGAGCGGAGTGCGCATGGTGAACGGGAAACCCAAGAAGATTCGCAAGCCCCGAACCATCTACTCGAGCTTCCAGCTGGCCGCCCTCCAGCGCCGCTTCCAGCAGACTCAGTACCTCGCTCTGCCCGAGCGCGCAGAGCTCGCCGCCTCCCTGGGAGTCACGCAGACCCAGGTGCCCCCGCGTGACACATTTCGCATGCGCGCGCGTGTGTGTGTGTGCTGGTGTGCGTTGCGGTCCTGGGCCTCCCCTAGGTCGACTCAGCCTCAAACGAGTAACTGGCGGCGGTGTGTTAAACGTCGCCACGAGGGAGACAAAGGCGGGCGAGCGTTGTCAGCGAACGGCCTATTTTGGACGAGCGCATTTCGTGCGCGTGTCTAATACCACTTGCTCCCAACAGTCTGTTAAGGCTATGCGTGTTGGGGTAACCCTTTGCCTTTGCCTTTGTCTTTGCCTTTGCCTTTGCCGTGGTGGGGTCAGCCAGTCGGCCGGCCGCGTGTTCCCGTGGCGTCCGACGTGAAACCACGTACCGCGCGAGAAAACCATCGGTAATGTTGAGTCAGGCTTTTAGGCGAGGCCCCATTCGGCAGGGCTCGGCTCGTAACACGAAGTGGCCACTGCTCGGTTGGCGTGCGTAACGAGGTCGTGTTGCGTTACGACACCGGCTCTCGCGCAGAGCGCAGCCCGCGGACACGAGGAGGAGGGGGGTGACACGCCCGGCCCCGCGGTGATGCGCGCACACCCCACGCGTACCTTCTGGGTCGAGGCGCCAAGCCTCGAACTTCGCGTCATTTTTGTTGTTGTTGTTGCGTTCTCTGAACGAGCCGCGCTGTCACCGAACGCGGTGTGCGGGATGAGCGAGGTGCGGCAGGGGTGGAAAACGGTGGCGAGGTGTTAACTATCTCGCCGGGTATGCAGGATGTCGTGAGTTCGATCCCGACCCAGACGCCTGCCGCTGTATATTTGGAGTTTGCGTGTCTCTCTCTCTCCGTGGTCGCGTGGGTTTTTATCCGGGTCCTCTGCTCTTTTCTCTCCACATTTATAATCAATATCACGCGTTTAGAGTATTTGGCTGCTATACATTTCCACGCGATGAGCCCACTTCGTTGAGCTATCATTTGTGGCCAGGTCGCTTCTGGAAAATAACTATATGGCTCGGTCGGCCTTACCTGGTAAAATAAAAATAGCTTTCATTTCAAACGGCGAGGCCTCCTACTGAACGGTGACAAGAATAAATAACCCATATATTACTCCCTCCTCCCCATATGTATCTCTCCACGTTAAACAAAATAACACTTTCTTACACATCTCATCGGCCCCGCGTCCTTCGGGGAGTTTCTTTTTTTTCCTCAGCAGCTTTGTTTTATTACAGACAAACTCTACACTGGGCTCGCTCAAACCAATGCTGCTTGAACCTACTCGAATGTCAAAGGGTGTCTAGGGCTTTTTCTCATAGAAATGAGTCGTAGGTTCGACGCAATGCGACGTGCTACAAAGAAGGGTCATTGCCCGAAACGTCACCTCTTGTATATTCGCTTTCCCTTGAGGACAATGGTATTGGCGAATGTGTAGAGTTGTTAAATGGAGCTTGCGGTTGGGAGTTTGAGGGCTTGGTCGAGATGAGTGGCTGGGCACTGGAGTCATAGGTGCGGCCACGCGTCGTTATGCACACACTCGTCGTTGTTGTTATGAACGGAGACGTGTGGTTTTTTTTTATGATGTAAAAGTGAGGGCTGAATAACCCCAAATGTGACCAGACAACTCCTGGCGTTGCCTCCATTCAGCAGCGCGTTGAGTAAGGACTGGACGTGACTTTGTCGTACATACTCGGTCGTTTCTGAAGCCAGTGAGATCCATTGAGTGTAGGACTGTAAATTTCGATGTAAAGCTTCTTTCGTGACTGCAGGGATTCATCTTCTTGGTTCTTTCCGGTAAAGTCACGTAGAAGGGAAATAATAAAATAATAAAAATAAAACAATGAAATAAAATTCATCTTCTTGGTTCTTTCGGTAAAGTCACGTAGAAGGGAAATAATAAAATAATAAAAATAAAACATAATAAAATACAATTCTCACGACGTTTCGGCCACAACGCAAGCAGCCGTCCTCAGGGATGTCGGAAAGACAGCGTCTGAATTGATTTTGAAGGAATTCAGACGCTGTCTCCCCGACAGACCTGGTCTTCACCTGAGGACGGCTGCTTGCGGTGTGGCCAAAACGTCGTGAGAATTGTATTTTATTATGTTTTATTTTTATTATTTTATTACTTCCCTTCTACGTGACTTTACCGAAAGAACCAAGAAGATGTTGGACTGTACTTTATATGCGACCACCTCCCACGTTCTCCCCGCACACGTTCACTAATCGGCACTGACACTGTTGTGAAGTATGGTCAAATAGCACCCCCCTCCCCCGCGACCCACACGGAACGAGGAGGCCCTTCATCCAACAATAGGGCTGTCTGTGTGTGTATATATATATGTGTGTGTGAAACTGTGTGTATGAGACTGCGGGTATGAGACTGCGTATATGTGTGTGCGCGTGTTTCAGGCGGCGGAGTAAATAACAGTACAATTGCAAGTATAATTTTTGCATTGTACATTTTAAATGGGAGACATTAATGATTAATGGTTTTGTTTCTTCCGTTTAGCCACAAACTATGCGAATCATAATCCACGGAGACCGCGATTCCTCGCCATGTACTTTAGCGACCATGAACGAACCAGGATGTTGAAAGTAACACACATTTATTCATACTTTACTTTAATTCCGCATGAAGTTAAATCAGTTATTGTCGCCACAATTAAATCAAACTCATTTATTAGATTTGCCAAACACCTTAGCGGCAGGCGAGCTTTCTGAAAGATACAGTGTCGAGACTCAGCGGAGCTCTGCTGTATGGTGGCGAGATGTTAACTACCTCGCCTGGTATACAGGTGGTCGTGGGTTCGATCCCGACCCTCACGCCGGTATATATGGAGTTTGCACGTTCTTCCCGTGGTCGCGTGGATTTTTCTCCTTGTCCTCTGGTTTTTCCCCTCCACGTTTAGAAACGTGCATTTTGGGTATTTGGCTGCTATAAATATCCACATGATAAGCCACTTCGTTTAGCTACCACTTGTGGCCAGGTCGCTTCTGAAAACTAGTTATACAGTTTCGTGGGCCTTACCTTGCTTGTATGTGTGTATGTTGAACTTATTTCGCAGCGTATGTAGCCAACCTCGGTTGGCTGCGGTAGTTATATAATGTATTTTTAAAATGTAAACATCGTGTAATATTTTGAAACCACGTTCTGAACCCCTATTTTATACACACTATCATATATATATAAGTTTAGTTCCTTAGTAATACCTCTATTTTGTAGGACACTTCTGTACATATGTTTAGGAGTTCACTTTGTGTACGTTTAGTACTCTCCGTATCTAATTGTTAATCGGAACTTCGGTTTGTGGTTTGGGTTGTGAGTAATTGTTTGAGCTGATTCCTGAACGACTCCTCGGCCTTTGTCGCCGGATTTTGGTAAGCAGAGAGCGATATATATTTCACTCGTAGTGGGCAGCAAATAAAAGTGCTAATTTCATATAACAACAACAACAACCCCTTTCACACCTACCATCTTCCACAATTATTGGAACACATATCCCGGGTGCATCATTACTTTTCCGACTATTATATGTATACATTGTGTGTGTGTGTGTACGTGTGTATGCCGGTGTTATTGGTTTGGCGTTGAGAAAGGAAATATCATGAGCCACAAAGCTCAGTGCTAGACACTGAGCAGAAACTATCGAGTCACGCGTGTGTGTGCGTGTGTGTGTGCGTGTGTGTGTGCGTGTGTGCGCGTGTGTGCGCGTGTGTGTGTGCGTGTGTGCGCGTGTGTGTGTGCGCGCGCGTGTGTGTGCGCGTGTGTGTGCGCGTGTGTGCGCATGTGTGCGCATGTGTGCGCGTGTGTGCATGTGTGTGCATGTGTGTGCGCATGTGTGCGCGTGTGTGTGCGCGTGTGTGTGTGCGTGTGTGCGCGCGCGCGCGTGTGTGTGCGCGTGTGTGTGCGTGTGTGTGCGCGTGTGTGCGCATGTGTGTGTGCGCGTGTGTGTGCATGTGTGTGCATGTGTGTGCCGTGCCGGCCTTCATAGGTGCTCGCTAACAGAACTTGCTCCAACAGTTGGTTAAGACTACACGGGGGATCTTTGTCTTGTTTGGGGGGGGGGGGGGTCGTGCCTAGCGCACTGCACTACGAACCCGATAACCCCACTTCGATTCCCGGCCACTGCGAACATCAATAGCGATTATCTTAACGATCTCAACCAGCCCTGGGTCAATGTATAGCCATACGCGAGTAACTGGTGCGGCGTGTAAACCGTCCACAATGGAGAGACAAAGGCGGCCGGGCTTGGTGGTGACCACACCAGCCCCCCGTGAGCCGTTTCGGCCATAACTGCTCGTTAATGACAAATGCCCCAACACCGGGGGAGAGTCGAGGGGTGTTCGTGTGCGTGCGTTCGTGCGATTGGCATCACATCCATCACTGTCTGCAGCATCTCACACCTTCCACGTCTAACCCGAGACCGCTTCTCTTCCCTTGACGGAGCGCAGGTGAAGATCTGGTTTCAGAACCGGCGCTCAAAGTTCAAGAAGATCGGCAAGCACGGCGAGATGATGCCCACGCCGGCTCAGGCCAGCCCCGCCAGCAGCGACCCCATGGCCTGCGACTCGCCGCCGTCGCCGGGCCACCAGCTGGCCCCGTCGTCCACCACGGGGGGCCCCGGCCACCTGGGCCCCGCGTCATCCCCTTGGGACTGCCCCAGCCCTGCGAACAGCACGGCACTCTCCGCCGTACTCATGCAAAGCGCCCAGCACCAGCAGCAGCAGCAGCAACATCAGCAGCATCAGCAGCATCAGCAGCATCATCAGCAGCACCAGCAGCAGCTGCATGCTCAGTACCCGCCGGTTGGCCCTTGGTTTGGGGGGCACTCTCACCTGCAGGGGCCGTCCACGTACGGGCAGCAGCAGACGCCGCCGCCGCTGCTGCACGCGCCACACATCGACGTGAGCGCGACCGCCGCGTTCTAGCGAAGCGGAGCGAGGGGCGAGGGGGGAGGAGATGGAGGATGCGGCGACAGAGCAGCCACGGGCGTCACTTGCGCGACTGGCGAAACTGTTTGGATCAACACGTCCTGTTGTTGTTGGTATCATTACCACCACCAACCACCACCACCACTACTACTACCTACCACGAGACCACGAGCACCGCCACGACGACCATCTTTCATGTTGCTGCTGCCACGCGACGGGGACAATCCGAATAAAATCCGCGCGAATTTTTTTAAAAGACGCAGGCCGACTTGGTGCAAGCTTCAGATGCGTGACATTTCAAAACGCATTTGTGTTTTTTTTACTCACTTACTTACCACCAACGAGTAATTTAAAAAAAATATATATAATCGTTGGGTCGTCGCATTAAGTGCATCAGTTGAAGACAAAAAAAAACAGCGTAGATATTTCAGGGACAATGGAGGTGTTCGTACGTTGACTTTGTCAGTCTCTCGGGGTCGAGACTCAATGTATTATTATTGTTGTTGTAGCTGTCCTTCGCAGTGCCTTCCTCCGGTTATAGACAACACACACACGACACTTCTAATTTATCAAAGCTTGCAACAACGCAATATTTTCTGAAACAACAACAACAAGAACGATGATGATGATGATCAAAAAATGGTAAAACAAAACAATTACGAAAAGGTATACGGAATTAAATATAAACACAGAATTGTACATAACCCTCTACAACGATATCATTATACCCCACCTCTATACTATTGATATATATTCAGTGTCATATATATAAGTTATTGAATTTCAGTGTCGCTCCCGTGAACGTTTGTTTCGCGTTGTGTTCAAGAAAACAAAAAAAAATATTCTAATATCGCTGTAAATATTTTGGTGGCATCTCGCCATCAGCTTTGCGTGTGCATCATGCACCAGTGCACGAACCTCATTGGGTATGGGTCACACACGCGCACATCGTCACACGTGCGCGAACACACGCACGCACGCGTGTACAGACAACCCATAGCTAAACATATACAAAAACACACACCACACGCATTCACAACAACAGCAACCAAGGAATTTGCACGCATGCACACACACACACACGATCACACACGCACACACTGCTTCGCACATACATATACTCAATCATAATACAACATCCATACATAACATACAACACAGACAAAGATCCCCTGTATAGCCTTAATATACTGTTGGGACAAGTGCGATTAGCGAACACCTATGAAGGCCGGCACGGCACACGAGGGGTGGTTGGCCAGCACCACGCCCGGTCGCCTTTGTCTCTCGGAGTGGCGATGTTTACACACCGCACCAGGTACTCATTTTAGGCTGAGTCGATCTAGGGGAGGCCCAGGACCGGTTAAGATAATCGTTACTGGTGTTGGCCATGAAGTGGGAATCGAACTCGTGTCGCCGGGTTAGTAGCACAGCGCGCTAACCGCTACATTACAGATCCCCAATCAAAATACACAAACATAGACCCCCCCCATATAGCCTTTAATAAACTGTTGGGGCAAGCGCTGTTAGAGAGCGCCTAGAAACAATCACACACGACAACCAACACATTCACGCACAGACAAACACACATGCACACACACACACACGTACACGCACACTCATACACACACAAACACGTACACATGCACACACGCGTACACACACGCACGCGTACACACACGTACACACACACATGCACAAACACGCACACTCAGAAGGTTCCGTTCACATGAAACCTTATCCGTCGCTCTTAAGTTTAAGCGCAAAAGGGCGCGCACTTTTGCACGAGTGCATATGGGTAAGCGTAGCCCCTTTACGACAACTTTGGTGGAATATGATGTATTATTTATATTCATTAAAGTTCGCAGTCTCAGTGGCCCCGTAATTTATTTGTAACATGAGACCCCCACCCCCCCCCAATCCCCTGCGCGCGGTAATAAACGTGGACGTTTGTACATTTCGCCTGCTGTGAAATTCACTCGGCCCGTGGCATCCGTGGGCACCGTCACTCACTCCCCACAGCGGCGCTGACATCGGGCGCAATTGCATCGTCTTGTCTCCTCGCCTCCAGACATTTCATCTCTCTCTCTCTCCTGCCGATGCCAGCATCTCTCTCTGTCTGTCTCTATGTCGAGCATCTCCTATTATCTCCACTATCTCTCGCTCAACTTTCTTCACCAGTAAAAGAAACAAAAATCACATTCATAGATTGTAACCGCGGAGTATGGAAGCGTTCAATTTTGCGCGTTCCAAAAATATTATCCATGCGGGTTGGCAAATTTGATACTGTAAACCATTTAGTGATGGTAGGGTGCTCATTAGCTGTACAGTACAATTTACGACGTCACTGGGGTGTTTTAGTTTTTAGTTTTGGATCGAGCCAGTTCAGTGCGAGAGTTCGAATGTTAGTTTTCGCAAATCTTCTATCATGGTTATGCATTGTAAAATGATACAATATCTAGCTTACACGTGGGTTTGCGCGTACATTATAATTTTGCCGTTGGGTATTATTTTGTTTATAAACGTTCTAAATTGCCAACAGATTTACGCAAGCAAACATCGGCAAACTATTGTTCACACATTCATGAACAAATGCGTACAAAGTCGTTCGCCGTTTTGTGAACACGTGCGTGGCACGCCCCGACGGAGACAGCGTGGCCGATGTATCGTGCACGCGGGCATCGCAGAGCCGACACGCTAGCGCGATTAATCGTGGAGTCTGTTCCGCGACAACCCAGTAAACAACCACGTACCAACGACGATGGCGGGCCCAACATCGTTGTTCGCATGCGGTTGGAAGCGTTGCTGGGACGATGTTGGCCAACCACAACGTTCCATGTTTCACTGCGCCGCTCGCTCCTAATAGTGCGGCTATTCATAGGCCAATTTACAAACCCATTCATCAAAACGCGTAAAAAAAATACACCCCACGCATTTTATTGTAAGGCTCAGTGGTTTAAAGTTCAGTCTCCAACATTGATTATCCATTCTCTAGCCTTTCTATTTACGCGTGCTATATGAGGAAAGAGCCATTGCTCGAAACGTCGTCTCATTGCGTACTTTTCCTTTTCAAGGCCACGCACGGTGTTATCGAGGATCGCGTTGAGTTATTACTCGACATGACTCCGCGTTTCAGGATCCACCAATCGCTCGCTCATTCACCATCAATCGCTCGCTCATTCACCACCAACCACCACGACGGCGCGAGGTCTCTGTGCGATATCATCTCAGTCGACCACTTCGCGCAATCACGACGCGTCGTCCCGCTTACGCGTTCCATGGAAGACGCAGAGTCGGGGGAGATTTTCATCTCGTCCGCGCCCCTCTTTCCCGGTCGGCGAGCCGGAAGACATTGTCACACCCGGCACACCACATCCAGTTAACGGATGTGGCCACTGTTTACTTGCATCTTCTTGGTTCTTTCGGTAAAGTCACGTAGAAGGGAAGTAATAACTTGCAGTTCGATACACATTTGTGGAGCGATGAAGTCGTTTGTACAGTAATGTACACATACATTTCGACGCGTCCTTGACAATTTTATTTGCTTCGTCATCACCTCGTCAATCCCCGGTCTAAACATAGTGCGTTTACCCATAAACCAATTAAATAACGTTATCGTCACACAGGCACGTATGTACGGTGTAGGCGAGGTGAAGTCATTGCCTCACGGAACTTCGTGCCAAGAGTTCATTGCTGAGCTTTTTGGCATCGGCGAGCACGGCGTGTCCACTCTGCAGCGCAAACTCCTCTCTCCACAGCACGCGCTCACGCACACGCGGCGGCTCCACTCGGGTGGTCGGTAACGCGGAATGTGCGCGCACCACATCCAGTCTCCCTCTCGCGAGTACGGCTGTGGCAACTACCCACGGGCTACACACTGCTCCAGTCTAGCGGTTAACCCGGTCGATCCTTGGATACGCACGAAGATGCCCCGTGTCGCCTTAGCAGACTGTTGGCACAAGTGCTGTTAGCACCACGCCCGGCCGACTTCGTCTCCCCAGTGGCGATGTTTTTACACACCTCACCAGGCACTCGTTTGAGGCTGAGTTGACCTAGGGGTGGCACAGGACCGGTTCAGATATTCGTCGCTGGCGTTGGTCGTGAGCGGGATTCGAACTCGGCTCGCCGGGTTCGTAGCGCGGCGAGCTAACCGCTACAATACCTCTCTCCACAACATAGTGCATTGCCCATATACACACAAACACACACTTACATACAAGGTGATTAAATTAGAGATTCTCCGTTGATTTGTCTTGACTGCCAAAGAGATGTCTTCATATCTCACAGAAAACGAGAGGAGGAGATAGCAAGGGATGGGGGAGTTTTCGATGTAATAAGTATACAGCATTGGGATTCATGGGAGACATATAGGATTTAAAATATTATATTATACACTATATGTAATTCTTCCCTATGTGTTGGGGTACCCATCTATATACATGCAGGGTCGGAGTGGTGGTAACGTAAATAGCGCTTTGTGTACCCGGCGACTCTAAGTTTGATTCGGGCTCACGGCTACCATCAGTGATGACTGCTGAGTGATATTAACACCGGGGTTGTCCTCTCTCCTCCACCCCTTTTACCAACTCGCGCTGACCAGTGTGGTGAAGTACGGTGAAAAAGAAATCCCCTATGACCGACAACCGCGTGGAGAGGCCTTCATCAATAGGATGGCTGGTGTTGTGTTTTATCCGTGAGCCAACCTGCACACACACACACAGCGCTGTAATCTAAATCGCATGTATCTCATCGAGAGCGCCGTGCCTGTGTTCGTATGCGCGGAGCGACAACGTAGTGGTTAACGCACTCAAGCTACGAACGCGGCCGCACCTGAGTTCGAATCCCGCTCACGCGGAGGAAGCCTCCAGTGGCGAATGATAGAACACGCCAACTATCGGAACTGAGTTCTCTGCATTTCCCTCTGTAGGGTCGACTCAGCCTTAAATCAGTGACCTTGGCGCAGTGTGGCCAACGTCACAAGTCAGCGTGGGCTACGTGACGCTGTCCTAAATAGGTGATCGCAAACAGCAGCACTTCCTTTGCCCCAATAGCCTTGTGCAGACTCGGCGGTAATTGACGCTGCGTAACTGCATCATCGCACGCACGCACGCACGTGTGTATGTACGTGTGTATGCATACAATGCAGCCTGCGCGCAGTACGCATGCCCCGTGCGGAGCGGAGCGTGTTTACATTTATATGTCACGGGGAATTCGTGTGCGGTTGCTCTTTTTTGCCGGAAGCGAGGGCCATCGGAGCGCGGTGCCGATCGCACGCAAAGCCCTTTTTGTTCCCGAGAAATGGCGAGAATGCGCCCTCCTTGCTCAATGGGTTCTCTTTCTTATCCACGGCAGACAGAAGGCCTCGTGTGTCTCTCTCCCACACCGCCCCCCCCCCCCTCTATACGTGCGTCGCGCACATCCTCATTGCTCTCTCCACTGCTGCACACAGAACACGAGGAGGATGAGGAATTGGTGGCTTGAGTTTGGTGGTTGGGAGGCTGGGGAAGAATGGGGGGGGTAGGAGAGTTGCAGCAAGTCCTCAATAATAATAATAAATATATAATAGCCCGTTGTCTACATCATCATGAGACTGGATTATTTAGACAATGTGCACACACCATAACAATATTGCGCTGAGCATTCCGTCCACGGAGGAATATCTCCCTTTAGACGAATTATCGCTGTTTCTGCCTCGCACGCCGCGTCCAATGTCACGCACGTGGCGTGTAACGCAGAGCTCAGGCGGGGGGAGGTGGGGGGGGTCGAGTGGCCTCCTCCCCACGCCGCGTAGCTCGTTGTGCCCGGAGTGCGTGGGGGTATTTGGCCATACTTCACCACGACGCTCAGAGCTTCTCGTCCCTCAACCTGCACGGTGTTGTTTTGTTCGTAGCCGATTACACAGCCACCACCGCGGAGGCGATTCCACGGTCACGGAATTACAAGACGACTTGCGCGGGCACACTCGTTATTATTATTCTACGCGCGCACCGCCTCGATTGGAAACGATGCTCTCGCGATTCATCGCACGCGAGGGACACGTAGGAGCCGCGCAGCACGCTCCACGGCTCCAGCCACGGCGGTAATTGTCACGCTCTGGGGCATGGTCGGGTTTCTGAGTCATGCGCCGTAATTCCGTTACCGCCGGAATCGACGCCCGTGCATTGGTGCACATCGCGATCGGTGCACACCGCGTCCGCGTCTTAGCGCTGCCCGGCGCGGCGCCCCCTTGCTCGCCTTTCGGTCGTCGAGAGCCAAAGCGAAAGGCGCGCATATCAATTGTGGCAACAAGCCCTGATGCCGCTGTTGCCCTCGTTCCAGTTGATCTTCTTTCAGTTGCTTCTCCTGTTGCTGCCGCCGCTGCTGCTGCTGCTTGCTGCATTAGCCTTCATTTCCGCCCAGAGCCAGGGCTACGTAATCCACGCGCAGACTCTCTGGAGCCGACACGCCGTGAGTGACAGCGAGCCAAGCCCAGCGCCCCCGGGCAGCGCTCGACTCTCATCGCACCCCCTTCTCCCCCTCTCCCTCCCTCCCTCCCCCCCTCTCCCTCTCCCCCCTCTCCCACTCTCCCTCTCCCCGGACTCGCTCCTTCTCGCTCTTTCCCCTCGCTCTCTGCCCGGACTCGCTCCCTCCTCCCGCCCTGCAACTCTTCCCAGACTCGCTCCACTCACTCTCTATCTCGGGCTCCCCTTGTACTCGCTCCACTCGCGCTCTCCTACCTCTCTCTCTCTCTTTTCTTTTTACGATCAGTGGAAACAAGAAGATGCTCGGTGTATTCGACACTTTGCTTCGTTCATCATTTCGTATTTCTTTTTTATTTACATTTTAAACTCTGCTTTATGTAAAGCCCCACCTCTCGCTCACTCTCTCGTTCGCTCTCTCTCGCTCTCTCCGCCTCTCTCTCTCTCTTTCCCCGCGTTCGCTCCGCTCGCTCTCCCCGATCT